CACTTTATTGCAACACATTTACTTCATTACAACACAAACACTTCATTACAACACATCCACTTCATTACAACATATACACTTCATTACAACACATACACTTCATTACAACACATACACTTCATTGCAACAAATACACTTCATTGCAATACATACACTCCATTGCAATACATACACTTCATTGCAACACATATACTTCATTGCATCAGTGAGGGAGAGGTGCTCAATTCGTCAGCTTCACTCTCTCGTCCTTGGTTATTTGATCAATGGAAAGATTTAGTCAGGACGACTGGAAATAGACCATAATACAACAATACAGAATCAAGATTATTTGAATTTCCGATTCTAAATACATGGTAATAGTTAGATAGGACATTTTAGTTTACACTTTAAATTGTAGTTTACCCTTTACGGTGTAAATTGTTTTGTGTTGGTATCAGGTGTATATTTGAATTATGGGATGGATGGGTTACAACTTGCGGTCCCTATATAGCACGCTAGCAAAGATTACCCATTGAGTCCAGATTATCACGCAAGCCCAGATTATCACGTGAGCCCAGAATAGCACGCGAGCCCAAATTACCAAGCGAGTCCAGATTACCACGCGAGTCCAGATTATCACGCGAGCCCAGAATAGCACGTTAGCCCAGATTATCACGTGAGCCCAGATTACCACGCGAGCCCAGAATAGAAAGCGAGCTCACATTATCACGTGAGAATAGAATAGCACGTTAGCCTAGATTATCATGTGAGCCCAGATTACCACGCGAGCCCAGATTACCACGCGAGCCCAGATTACCACGCGAGCCCAGATTACCAAGCGAGCCCAGTTTACCACGCGAGCCCAGATTACCACACGCGAGCCCAGAATAACACGCGAGCCCAGATTACCACGCGAGCACAGAATATCACGTGAGCCCAGATTATCACGTGATCCCAGATTACCACGCGAGCCCAGATTACCACGCGAGCCCAGATTACCACGCGAGCCCAGATTACCAAGCGAGCCCAGTTTACCACGCGAGCCCAGATTACCACGCGAGCCCAGTTTACCACGCGAGCCCAGATTATCACTTGAGCCCAGAATAGCTCGTTGGCCCATATTATCATGTGAGCCCAGATTATCGCATGAGCCCACATCATCACGTGAGCCCAGACTACCACGCGAGCCCAGAATAGCACGCGAGCTCAGATCAACACGCGAGCCCAGACTATCACGTGAGCCCAGATTATCACGTGAGCCCAGATTATCACGTGAGCCCAGATTACCACGTGAGCCCAGAATAGGATGCGAGCCCAGTTTATCACATCAGCCCAGAATAGCACGTTAGCCCAGTTAATCACGTGAACCCAGATTATCACGCGAGCCCAGAGTAACACGTGAGCCCAGAGTAACATGTGTGCCCAAAGTGCCATGCCATTAAAACTGCTCAGAGCCTATCGGATTATTCACAACAACTTTCTTTGCATTTATAGATTTAATTTGAGAATAGTTTTGTAGAGCCAGTGACATCCTTCGCGTTATTCTTTTGTTGATAATTTTTTTTTGTTCATGAAAAACATTGTATGGAAAATATAATAAGGATACTTTTAAAATAAATTCGATTTGGAACTCATTTAAAAATGTTAAAACAAATTCGTTTAGTTTGAGAACACGTCCAGAAAATAGTTTACTAAGCATATAGACATTGTATTTTGAGTTCATCTCCAAATATGGCCTCCTGTCTTGATGCATGTTACACTTTTACAACATATCATAGCACAATCTAGGTAGTGACGTTGGAAGTGGGGGACTTTTTTTTTGGGGGGGGGGGGGTCATTTTATGCCAACTGCATGCCTTTTTTTTTCATTACAGTGGGAAACCCCCAACCATAAATATATTTTCGTTGCTAATTAATATGAAAACACGTCTCTTCCAATGGTCTTCGGCGACCCCCATGTAAGGGTCGTTCGACCAACAAAGGGGTCGCAACCAACCCGCTGTTCTAGACATTCCTTAAACATTTCTGTTACAATTAACAGTGAAACATTTTTATAACTAATGCTTAGAATTCTAAGACCGCTTTTTTTTTACAAATAAGGAGTGGAAATCCAAGCGTGGCGTTGTTTATCATTCTAGTCAATTATCGAAGTGTCCCCTAAATTCTATTGGAATTTATTAGTTATTTTTAGTTTATAGTTGTGGAAAACAACGGCTAGATGAAAGGAAAAATAGAACCACGCCCAATGCGAACGCTGTCTCATGTGGGGTCAACTAGAGTGCACGGCACGAGGAAAGTGTATAAACACGTTCTACATAGCAACATACTTCTCATGATATAAAGATAAGAACATGGTGGGTAGACACACTTCTGATGATATAAAGATAAGAACATAGTGGATAGACACACTTGGTTATAAGATCCTCCATCTTAATGATGGATGTTCAAATTTGATTTTGAGTGTAAAATGATCATAAATAACATTGTTATAGCATCGATTAGCATGTGTGTTCGTCTATTTTTAGCCAGCACCACTTGTCTCTCCTTCGTTTTGCCTTGATATTGACATCACCGAGTAAATATGCTGTGCCCCTCCTTACGTACCCCTTTCTTGATTGGGAAAAGGTTGTTTACGTTCGACTGTGTTCCATAGAATGCAATCAATTTCTAGAACTTCTTTACTAGATGGTTCTGATTTAATCCCTCTTTGTAGGCCGGCAGATGTTCTAGTTGAAAGAGAGATTTTTGCTATATTTCGAATCATTACATTATATTGTTGAAATGTTTTACTCTTTTTGTGTGTATGTAAATTAATATTTGTATATTTTGAGGAGTGTACCTTTTCACTTTCTGTGCTTACAAATATACTAAATGACATCAGATGGACTGATACAAGTGGAGGCTTCAACAACCTTGTATTTCTTTTTTTTTTTTGAATTTTTTTTGAGCCGTAATCTGTAATTGTTGACTATAAATCAATATGAAAACTTCGTATGCAGGAGAGACAACTAGTTGAAATGAGACTAATAATACTTTAAGGGGAATGTACTCTGATTTATTTTCAACATAATAACAATTAAAATTGCACATTCGTAAATTCTGATTAACAATTTTATATTCAAAAATTAGATCTGAGAAAATGGCAATAAGTCCCCAGAATCGTAATTGTGTAACAAGTATAAGATTTGAGCATTGGTCATATAACAGTTGAAACAGGGAGGAAAATCTGGACACCTTTTCATAGAGCATTTAAATTAAATAAATTTCCACCACCAGCAGATCGATTCATGTCTCGCAGAGGTCAAGACATTTAGTACCGGTATCTAATTAATACTGTTCACCACCTGGTTCTGAGTTCTTTCAATGTAACCAACTTGCTACGGGGCGAATGTTTCACATGTATCGCAAGAGAAAAGTTTAACTTGTAGTAACACACACTTAACTTGTTAACATCACTTAACAATCACAACACTTGACAACAGTAACAGCATTGCAAAATTAAACAGGATGAAAGTTAAATACTGTAACTGTAGTAAAAGAATGATTCTCTTATCAACATTTGTAAAGGAAATGCTATAATATTTAGCAAAAGGCTAAACAGATCGGTGGTGAATATCATATGAGGAAAACCTCTCAGGAAATAAGATTCTCTGTATTGAACGGCCGGGGGTTTGGGGTATTGTAAAATAAAAACATTTTGGATGAAATTTAACTTGAAATATAGTTAAACTGTTATGTAATGTACCAATGTATTGAGTTTATGTAATGTACCAATGTATTGAGGTTATGTAATGTACCAATGTATTGAGGTTATGTAATGTACCAATGTATTGAGGTTATGTAATGTACCAATGACCAATGTATTGAGGTTATGTAATGTACCAATGACCAATGTATTGAGGTTATGTAATGTACCAATGTATTGAGGTTATGTAATGTACCAATGTATTGAGGTTATGTAATGTACCAATGTATTGAGGTTATGTAATGTACCAATGTATTGAGGTTATGTAATGTACCAATGTATTGAGGTTATGTACACCAAATAAATTATGAAATTAAGGAACGTTTTATATTTGTGTTGATTTTAGAGACCGACCGAATTTCGTCTTCGGCTTCGGTTTCGGCGCCGAAAGTGGCCATTTTATCACTTTCGGCCAAGTTTCGGTTTCGGCAGAAACTGAAAAGTTAACTTTCGGCTTAATTTCAGTTTCGGCCGAAACTGAAAATTTAACTTTCGGTTTTTCTTCGGTTTCGGCCGAAATTGACTTAGACTTTCGGCCATCCGGCCGAAAGTGACTCAGGTTTTCGGTCAATTAAAACTCAGCAAAAGCTGTATTTAGCTACAAACTAAGCGACATTTAAGAACAAATTAAGCGATCTTTGTGAACAAACTAAACGATATTTAACAACAAACTAAATGACATTTATGAACAAACTAAACGATCTTTAAAACAAAATAAGTGATCTTTAAAAGCTATCTAAGCGATCTTTAATAACAAACTAAACGATCTTAACGAACAAACTAAACTATTTTTAAGACCGAACTAAATAATCTTTAAGAACAAAACAAATGATCTTGATAGTAAACTAAATGATTTGTAAGAATAAAATAAGCGATCTTTAACAGAAAACTAAATTTTCTTTAGGAACAAACTAAAAGATCTTTAACAACGAACTGAGCGATCTTTAACAACAAACTAAACGATCTTTAAGAACAAACTAAACGATCTTTAACAACAAACTAAGCGATCTTTAAGAACAAACTAAACGATCTTTAACAAAAAACTAAGCGATCTTTAACAACAAACTAAGCGATCTTTAACAACCAACTAAGCGATCTTTCAGAACAAATTAAGCGATCTTTAAGATTAAACTTTGCGATATTTTAGAACAAACTAAGCGATCTGTATGAACAAACTCACAGATATTTAAGAACAAACTAACCGATCAATAACAACCAACTAAACGATCTTTAAAAACAAATTAAGCGATCTTTTAGAACCACAATTTTTAGAGACCCGGTTTAAGAAAATAATATTTTGCATTAATTTCCCCCACCCCCCCCCAACCCCCCAATTTTTGCCAAATATTCTCCTACCATACTAATTTAAAAATAAATTGTAAAGCAATTTAAATTTCTTTATATATTAAAATGGTAAAATCCAAAGTATTCATTAGATCAAGGGTCTCAAACTCAAATCATCAAAAGGGGGGAGGGGGAAGCGCAGGAGTTAGTGTCTGAATGAGACTGGGCCGCATCAAGTAATCCACAAAAAAAGCGATTACAACTGTTACAATCTGCTCAACCTTTATAAATAACAATAAAATCATTAAGGGTTCTCAAGAACTAGGATTCACTTTCATCCACCTACTCACTGTTGCATTCAAAAAATATAGAAGCATTTAAAAAAATAATCAGAATTAGACTAGTCGGTGAGATTCGACTGAAACTGTCGCGGAGAGTCACGTTATAGATATGAGAATGGGTGAAACGGGCCGCGCATTTACAATAAACTTTTCTGTCACGTAGCGGGCCGCAAAATATCGTCTTGCGGGTCACAATTGGCTCGCGGGCCGCGAGTTTGAGAACCCTTTTTAGATGTTTATTTATTAATATTCACGTATATCTCATTTTTTATAAAAAGAATGTAAATATTTATACTTTTCCAAATCATTTTCGATGTATGCAGAGTGTATGTGGGAACGAATTTCAAAATCTCTTAACATTTCATTTTCGGTTTCGGCTTCGGTTTCGGCTTCGGCCGAAATTCATTTTTATTTTTCGGCCTTTTTTCGGTTTCGATTTCGATGTATGCAGAGTGTATGTGGGAACGAATTTCAAAATCTCTTAACATTTCATTTTCGGTTTCGGCTTCGGTTTCGGCTTCGGCCGAAATTCATTTTTATTTTTCGGCCTTTTTTCGGTTTCGACCGAAAGTCATTTTTAAACTTTCGGTCTTTTTTCGGTTTCGGCCGAAAGTCATTTTAAACTTTCGGCCTATTTTCGGCTTCGGCCGAAATCATAAAATCACTTTCGGTCGGTCTCTAGTTGATTTACTAAATGGTAAACAAGGCAAGAGGAGCCTTTAACAAGGGAGTGATTTCCCCTTTACCTGTAACGGATCCTAGTATTAATTTTTATCACCATCTGAACACATCTTAACCACATCAACCACATCAACACACTCTAACCACATCAACACACTCTAACCATATAAACACACCCTAACCACATCAACACACCCTCACCACATCAACCACATCAACACACCCAACCATATAAACACACCTTAACCACATCAACACGCCCTAACATGCTAAAGTAGCATGGATACCAGCACTACATAAATATCCAATCAATCAAACAACACCAAAACACCATCACATCGGCAGACCCTCACCCCAACATCACAACCTCATCACATTAACACAACCTCATCACATCAACACACCTTTAACATATCAACATACCCTCATAACATCAAGTGAAATCTAGAATGACTGTTATAGGAAGGAAAGGTGGAGGGGGTAAGGGAGGCACTTACCCTTGCTATACACTTACTCTAGTTATGCACTTACTCTAGCTATGCACTTACCCTAGCTATGCAACTTTCGGTAATCTACCACTTGAGCGTCGGCCAAGAAAAAATCCAGTTTTTCCGATTGGAAGGGCTATGTAAACAACTATTCTTACATTGGAGTCTGTTAATATTTTTGTTTCCGTATAGAGGCTATAAAGTTATATAGCACAATACTAATACATTTAAATACTTATCATTACTGCCAAGCTACCGATATGCCAGGAAGAAAAAGAGACAACAATTATTTTTTTTGATCCAGATGACGCAGATGTCCACACACAGAATGTGGAAAACGTGAATGCTCGGAAAGCATAAACTGAAAAGACAGTTTGGCACAAGAAGAGACGGTGATCTTTCCCCTTCATATTGACGTGGATTCATGTACCGGGTACCACAACCGTTTTCATGGAAATTATATTTTTTTAAACTTCATTGTCAACTTGGGGGATAACTATGCATAATTCCATTTTTACACATTATCTTCTATTTCAAAAAAATTGTTATAGTTTTTCTATTTTAAAAAATTGTCTATTATAATGGGAATGAATATGTACAACCAATGTCATTAAAAATAATATAAGAATAGTTGTTTAAATAGCCCTTGCGACCTGAACAGCTGGATTTTTTCTTGGCCGATGCTCAAGTGGTAGATTACCCAACTTTCTACAATAACTGCAATTGTTGTCCAACTCTGCAACAACTCGGCTTTAAGATTTTCCATAAATACTTGCTTATAGGTCCCACTTTTTTTTTTTAACCGAATTTTTTTATAAAAATCATGAGCGAAACATATCCACTCAACATCAATTTCTATTGCTCTTAATCACTCTGCAGGTGTGATTTATATGAAAAATCAGATAATCATTTCCATACTGCTCTTGCTTACGTTGGAACATGTTTCAAAGTTTGTGACAACAGCTTTCCAGTTTTCAAGTTGTCACGGAAACATGTTTGTGACATCTGTTAAACAAATATTAGTTCTATTTATATTAAAAATATGGGGCCATGAAACCCCCCAAACTAAGGATGCAATCTGTCGGCAGGTCGACCTTAAAAACCCCACTTAGACAACACTAAACTAAGGGTGCGCCCTGTCCACTGGTGTGACCTATGCTAGAGTATAAATGGTAAGTCATTAATGCACAATAAATATGGAGTTGTCTAACAAAGATAAGTGGCGTTCAGTGAAGTCAATTTATACCAATATAGATCCAAATTGACTGCTGCTAACTTACTGATACTGCCCTAATTTTATAAAAGTATTGCCCACTTGTTCACACTATTTGAAGAAATCCTCGACATTTAGTGGGTTTTTTTTAAATCTGGGGATCATTTTTTAGAATTTTAGAATTTTAAAGCAATTAAATGTGGTTCTCTATGTAAAAAATTTTTTTTTTTTAAATCTACTTAAAAAGAAAATTTAATTTAGACTTAAACATCAGGATGCTTTCTGACTTGAAAACAAAATCTTCTAAAGAAACACATCATAATGCATGCCTTAAAGCCCATGAAAAAATGTTTTGTTGCTTATCTATCAGCTCTCTTTTAAAGCCGAGCAAATATTTAAGATTGACAATGCAAACGGCTACACTTTGTAAACACCCTCTTTAATAAGAGCCTGCCAAACACGACCCGTCGGCCACTCATAGTCGGCCAGGGAGCTGGCTTTCATATCAATACTGTATCCGGGCACCTGGAGGGAAAAAGAGGATGTTGACTTGCCAGGAGTCACATTAAAGTGTATTATTAAATTCATCACAAGGGGAGAGAATATGGCATGGGTGAAAGGGAGAGAAGTGCTGTGTGTGAGCATGAGATAAAATAAAAATGTTTAATATGGTCTACAATGGAGCAGGGATCAGCTCTTCCTTATTTTTAAATAAAAGAAGAAACAGAGACCAAAACAAACAAAAAACAGAGTCAGTTATTTATAGGAAAGACAACCAAAAAAAAAACCAGTCATTTATTTTGAGGAAAGAAAAAAAAAACTTATTTTAAATTATAGTCCTATTTGAAATGCACTTATTATCAGCATGGGAAATAAATCTTTTACAAGTTGAAAAAAGCCCTGCACCTTCCATTCTTCCATCTTAAATAAAAGTGTCCATGGATTCAGCCACGATTTATCTGGGTTTTTTTTTTCTGCAGCCGCTAATGTGAAAGGGATCAAGCTAGTAATTGAATAATGATGGAATTAAAAACAAGAAATTTTGATTTTGGGATTGAAGTTGATGCCTTAAAAGAGCAAGACAAGGGCTGGACATCAGGGGCCAGAGACAAAATCAGGTCCAGATTCATTGAGGGCAAGAAATATGTAGAGAAAAAAATAATGCTGGCAAGTCCTAAGAGCTAATCCATTTCAATCAATCAATGTTTTAACATTGGGTTACAAAAATGCAAATTATATTTTACCTTTTTTAAAATTTACATTTAATTTTCCTTCAACAGAAATGAGACTCAGCTTTGGTTTCCATTCTTAAATACAAAAATTTCATCAAAAACTTACATCTGGCACAACGTAGTTGCCATTTTTTATCCTGCATGGATTTTCAAAGTGCTCGTGTAAGTGATCTGTATATTCCAGCATTCTGAAATGATCAAACGCATAGAGAGATTTTGATATCTTACTGTAGTCAACTTAAGAGACTTTGATATCTTACTGTGATCAATTTAACACAAAGAGATTTTGATATCTTTACTGTGGTCAACATAACACAAAGAGATTTTGATATCCTTACTGAGGTCAACTTAAACTCATAGAGAGGTTTTCTTGATATGCTAACCGCAGTCTACTTAACAACTGTCATGGTCAGTTCCAGAAGTCAAATGTTGATGAGAATATAATTGAAAAATCATCAAACTCCTCACCTCTTCTCAATTGATCCTGACACAGCGATGTAATCAAAGATGGACAAGTGCTGGGTGTACTCACACAGGCCAACCCCACCTCCATGAGGACAAACTGGCACTGGAGGAGAACAAGGCTTGTCAAAGATTGTGTAGACAATCAGAATTCAGGGGTGAAACCAAGCCACTCATTTATGTTATAGTCCAAGTGATGGTGAGATAATTCATTTAATATTTACACTGTGTTTTTGTTAACCCACGTTAACTGTGTCGGCCGATAAAAACGGCTGTTAAAAAAATCAGTTGAAAGAATAAGTTCCAGCGCAATATTTTACACCAAATATAATATTTTATTAATTTTATTAATAAATGATCTTCCGTTTTTCGCTCTTCTGTGTCCTTTTTTAAACTTTTGAGTTATTTTTACAACGATCTTTATCAAACAAATTTGTGTAAGTGGATTTTCGCGAAGTGGATGAGGCCATAGCTGGACCATCTGGCTTACAAAATAAATCAGTTAGGGATCTTATTTATAATTCTTTTCAGTTAATGACTTAAGTGATTTGGAAGATGATCTTACGATCAAACATGAAAACAATGATAATTCCGATTATTTTTCTAGTGGGTCAGAAAGCGAAAGGTCAGACGTTTTAGACCTAGGCCTAAAGCTAGAATGAGTAAGCATTGCCCCAACAACAGGACTCGTTCAAAACTGTGTTGCAGATGATTTTGTACCAACAAAAAATAATTGGATATTCTATATATGTTTTCTTATATTTCATTTTATGGATTAAATATTTATATAGCGGCTTTTTAAATTTTATCTGTTTCTTGCTATTTTTTTAGTAATGTTTAAATTGTATGTCATGCTTTGTTGAACGTAATTATAGGTATCAGAAAAAAAAAATTTTTTTAATCTATTAATAGCTAAAACATATACAAAAAATACATTTTCGGAAAAATAAATAAAATGCTATCGTATTATGTAACCATTCTAAAAATATGCCTTCAAAAAATTGTAGTTTGAGGTGCTTAAAAATATTTTTTTTCTTTATTCTTGGTCACTCCAAGTTCACGGTCATGGTCAGCGAGTATAAAATATCATTAAGAAATAGCCAGTAATATTCCCCACCCAGTCTACTTTCAATAAATATATACTTTATGGGTTCTAGCTATAGTATTTGCATGTGAAAAATCACATTTTTCAAAGGCACTCAAATAGCTCTAAATTGCCTGCACAGTACAGAAACATACAATGGCCAGTTCGTGGGTTAAAGTTGTAGCTTATAAGATTCATATTTTGTTGTAGTTATAGTTTATCATTCATATTTTGTTGCAGTTGTAGTTTATAGATTATGACATCAAGCATCCTACCATCAAATTTCTTAGCCATTAAAATGACGGCCAGATTTTCATTGACTCCTCCAAGTCTGCAACTGTCAATCTGGCAGAACTGCATGGCCCCCGCCTTGAGGAACTGTTTAAACATGATCCTGTTTTGACAATGTTCACCTGTGGCCACGCCGATCCCTAAAGGTTTCAACACCTGGCAGGTTATGATAATTTGGCTAGTTTTAAAATGGTTAAAAATTTTGATGTTTGTTTTTTTTTAAGTGAAGAAATAAGTTAAGTTCAATTTTTTTTCCACTGATGCCTTTCAAATCAATTAGCTCTGCTCCACTTCGTAATTACAGACCTGTTTACCCCCAAACTCTTAAAATCGTACAATATCATCACAAAATTGTTCAATACATTATCTTAAATAGTAAAAAAATAAACATACAGTATAAATAATGAACACACCTTAAAATCGTACATTGTACTGCAAAATCATAAGAGTAAACAGGTCTGTAATTAGCTATATTTCTAAAAATAGAAGTTTTTCACTCACCTGGGATATCTAAGATTGACTTATCACAATCCTCACTTATCTTACATTGGCTTATCACAAACCTTGGCAATCTCTGCATGGCCCAGAATATCATCAGGGGAGGTTGGTTCTTCAATCCAGGTGATGTTAAAATGGACCAACTCCCTCATCCAGTCAATGGCTTCCTGGACCTCCCACTTCTGATTGGCATCCACCATCTGATAGAAATTATTTCCTCGTCAACATTTCTAACCAAAAGCATGCATTTAGTTGAGTTAAAATGTAGCTGTTCTTAGCAAGTTATCTACAAGAAATAACAGGACTTCTTTAAATAAACTACATTACAACTACTCAAATACTACATTTAAAACTATTTTATGTTCAGAATTAACTGAGATTGATCAGACAGATATAAACCTACCAGTAGGTGACTGATTTGATCAGACAGATTTACACCTACCAGTAGGTGACTGGGATCCATTGTCTGCCTCAGTATTTGCGCTCTGCGTTTATCATCCTGCAAGTCAGAGCCGACCTTCATTTTAAATCTTGTTAGAAAAAAAAACAACATTAAATTAACTCAATGTATTGGGATTGTGATGTGCCACAATTCCAAAACAAAATACAGCATTGTTGGTGTAAGGTCAAAATTTTGTTTATAATTATGGGTAGCCATACTAGGTCAATTATGTTGCATGCCTTCAACTGTCTGTTGTATGGCAAAGCATTCCATCTTCTAGCCCCAAGTTAATCAATGATGGTACATGTACACTCTCTAGTCCTAAGTTAAATAATGATTGGTACATGTACACTCTCTGGCCCTAAGTTAAATAATGATGGTTCATGTACACTCTCTGGTCCTAAATTAAATAATGATGGTACATGTACACTCTCTGGTCCTAAGTTAAATAATGATGGTACATGTACACTCTCTGTTCCTAAGTTAAATAATGATGGTACATGTACACTCTCTGGTCCTAAGTTAAATAATGATGGTACATGTACACTTTCAGGTCCTAAGTTAAACAATGATGGTACATGTACACTTTCTGGTCCTAAGTTAAATAATGATGGTACATGTACACTCTCTGGTCCTAAGTTAAATAATGATGGTACATGTACACTTTCTGGTCCTAAGTTAAACAATGATGGTACATGTACACTTTCTGGTCCTAAGTTAAATAATGATGGTACATGTACACTCTCTGGTCCTAAGTTAAATAATGATGGTACATGTACACTTTCTGGTCCTAAGTTAAATAATGATGGTACATGTACCCTTTCTGGTCCTAAGTTAAATAATGATGGTACATGTACACTTTCTAGTACTTATGCAAATATCATGAGTTTTGTTTTCTTTAATTTCCTTTTTTTTTACCGGTATTCAACGAATTTTAGGATAGGTGACTGTAGTCAGTGCAGTCCAATGATAAGAATGATACAGGAGCTGAAAATTTACAATCTATCAGCTAAATTATACATATGGGACCTAAGGATGATTAAGTTATGATTAAGTACTATCTTTCAAATAAAACAATTGTCAAGTTTAATGAATTGCATCTCATACAGTCAACTCACTGACTCCTACCTTGAGAATCCCTGGGCCTGAGCCTCTTTGCACAACTAGTTCAAAGAAATTCAGTGGAAAAAAAAATGTCAGTGACAATACCACAGGACACAATTATTTAGCTCTGAATGATGATCATTTTTCTTTTAAAATATTTAACAGTAACAAGCAGTTATCAGTTTTCTTCTAAAATGTCCTCTAGTCAGCTGAAATCATTACCCTATATGAGTATAGTGAAAAAACGTTACACAGCTTCTAGTCAGCTGAAATCATTATCCTATCCATTTACTAAAATAATGTTACACTGCTTCATTATTTTTATTTTACATGTATAATGAAATACTGTAACACAGCTTCTAGCATTCTTCACGGCAAATTTCTTAACTAACCCTGGTAAATTTTCAATCTTACCATTGCTGTATAATTCTAGAAAGTTCTTAACTTACCCTTTCAATCTTATCATCGCTGTAACCAAGCCAAGCACAAGATGTGGTATAAGCTGGGTACCCAGTTTCTTTAATGAGTTGTTCTATGGAACCCACAGATTGCTACATTACCTCATTGTCCTTATTAATTCATTAATTTGTAAGAACATATAAACATGTAAAAGGATTGAAATACATAACAGAACTAATGACCACAGAATTAATTACCACACAGAATTTAAAACAACACATAAGTTAAGATGTACATTGTTGTCAGCTATTCATTAGAATTATGAACAACATAAGAAAAAGAAATAAGATTATCCCCTACCAATTCAGATTCAGTTCATGCATATATTAATGTCATCTGGTCAAGTATTCTCTATCTCTCACTTCTCTCTCTCTGTCTCTCTATCGCTCTTGCTGTCTCTCTATATCTCTCTCTGTCTCTCTATCTCTCTCTGTCTCTCTGTATCTCTCTGTATCTCTCTCTGTCTCCTTCTATCTTTCTGTCAGTCTCTCAAGTATTCATTAAAAGTATTCAACTGACTTGAAAAAAAAACAACTCAAAATTTAAATGGGATGCTTAATAATGGGATGCTGTTAATAAAGTAGCATTACGGTCAATACTTTTATTTTTAATAAAGTAGCATTGCAGTAAATACTTTTATTTTTAATAAAGTAGCATTGCAGTAAATACTTTTATTGTTAATAAAGTAGCATTACGGCGATTACGGTTAATACTTTTATTGTTAATCAAGTAGCATTTCGGTAAATACTTTTATTGTTCATAAAGTAGCATTACGGTCAATACTTTTAATGCTAACAAAGTAGGATTATGATAAATGGCAAAATATTGTTTTTTCAAAATATAACAACAAAATATCATCTCTAAATCTTAATCTAATTCAATTTTACTATTAAATATAGGTATAAAAGTCAATATGTATGTAGAAATTCATAGTCTAATTGATAATAGCTTATGGATCTGAATGTTAAGTTCAAGGTCTTCTCACCTCGCTCATTCTTTCCAGCTTGCATTTCTTTTAAAATCTCTGTTGAAATGAAATACATTTATTTTTGCGATTTTTTTGTTTTTGGTCTGGCTATTGATTCTCTACATAATTCTTGTGATCAAAATATCCAACATGATTTTTGTTATCTATAGCTAGTACCAGGAACATTTAAACACTTATTTCATTGTAAGTAACTCAACTTAATCGTTAATTAATAACAGCTTATTTTTATTCTAGATAATTAAATAAGGCAACAAATTTTGTAACATTTTGACTTATCACAATCCTTGCTTATCTGACATTGACATGGCCAACTAATATACACCCCATATAAGAGCCAGAAAAGCCCATTTTTATTTTGAACTATTTCAATTTTAAACATTAATTCAGGGAATATTATACATTTTTTGTTGCTTATTAGCAGTTATTTCACAATCCAACATTTAATCAGAATTCTATCAATGACATTTTAAATCTGTGGATCTAATGAGAACTTCATCTAGCATTATTTATTTTATTTGTTTAAATTTTATTTTTTTGTTATTCAAAAATTTTTATCAAAGTTGTTTCACTCTTCCATATTTAAATATTTAACATTTTAAAGCTATGATACAATTTTTATGCATAATTTTGAGTTCAAATTTTGTGTAACAATATATCACACAGAAATCTACATACCAAGAGCTTCCTCTTTTGTCAGTGTGTCAGTTCTGCAATATGGCAACAGCAAAAAAATGAATTAGCTTTAAAATAATCTTTAAGCCATAGATCAAGATTTTTTTTTAATGAGGGTAGTAATAAAAATATGTTCTTCAAAAAATGTTTAAAAGCAATATTATCTAAGCGAATAATTTAAGAAAAGAAGACTAAATCACTCACGTGTGTCTAAAGTCTATTGTTGAAACCAGTTGTTCAGGTTCCTTTTATACAAACAAATGAAATATTATCATGATTTTTTTTAATTAAAAAAAAACTTATACCAAAAATATTATTAAATTAATTTGAATACACAAATATGTCAACATATTTAAACATTAAGAAGTTGTAGAGAAAATAAAATACATATGACTTGGAAAAAACTGTAGCTTTGGTGATACCACCTACCATATCAACCAAGAGTTTCCAAAGTGGCTGTGAATATAAACAAATGGCAATGACATTTTCAAAAGTGTGTCGTTAGAGCTTATGAAAAGTACAAAAATGACAAAAAACATATGAATTATTTATCTTGTTACAGTAAACCATGTCACTGCAAAGTAAACCATAATATATCTCTAGTCTTTCCTAAAATGTGTAATTATATTGTATACTATATTCTATTATGATTGTGTTATAAGCTATATTCTACTGTGATAAAACAATTCTTCTATATTCTATTGTGATTAGGCTTTATGTTCGCTATAATATTAACCAATGACCAATACACAAAAAAACTAATTAGTCAAATTAATTCAATTGAAAATCATTGAATTTTCCAAAATATGGAGGTCCTTATTATAAACTGCATCAACTGTGAAATGTCACATAAACCAAATTACCTTTTGCTCTATCTTAGACCACAAATCCCAAACAGCATTAACTATAGCAGCAACTGCAAGATGCATCACCCCTTTCTCTGGACCAAGCTGTCAGAAAGAGAAATGTTTGATAGAGTAAATTTAAACAGTAAAAAATTACCATCCCTTTCATTCATTTGCCACATTCAGTGTTTACTTTTAAAGCTGTTCTTCACGGTGGCATTTAATCCAGTGTCACATGCAACACTATTTTATTTTGCCAGTTGGTGATATTCTTGTGAACAAGTATAATTAAAAAAAGGGAACTAACCCATCTTATTTGATCTTCACTGGTCAATGATCTCCAAAATGATGCAAAGTCTGCAAAAATAGATGATAACTCTTGTCCAACCACAAGATGACTCAATAATTTAATTGCTTCACATACTGAAAAAGTCAATTTAAGTAATACATGGTAAGATAAGTAATTTAAAAAACAACAAGACTATAGAAAAACTGATAATGCTTCCTCATGGAGTGATTATGATAGAGTGCTGTCAGAACCCAAGGTGCTAATAGGTAGTATAACAAACTTTGATAAATATAAACTATATTAAAGGCCTTCAACAAGTAATGTAAAAATGAAACGCTATGTCAAATAAAAAATTTTAAAAAAGGATATTCGAGGTTTAAGTCATTTTTACAAGATTCTGGAAGTTCTAAAAATATTCTTGAAGTTTACAGAAAGTTTTTCAATTATTCACGGGGTTCTAGAAGATTATGGAAATTTTATATTGTTTTACAATTGGCTTAAGCAGATCTTTTAATTTACAAGAACTTTCATCAGGATTGAATAAAATTATAGAAATTTTCGAAAGGTTCTTTAAGTTTGCTTTAGTATATAAATAAGGGTTAGGGACATGTTCATCCAAAACAATATGTGCATGCAATGTACCATCCCTGCTTTGTGATTCAATACACCAGTGCATTGTTCTATATGTTTCCATATTGGTATCTGAAATGGTGTTAGAAACATCTTTTCAAGTTTATTATAAATTGTATTTAAGTGTTGTCACGGTCAGAAGCCCACGTGGCGACAGTGAAATGCATAGTTTGGTTAGTTTGTGATTACATTTTTTCAAAGAATAATTTGTAAACATCTGAGTCTGCTACAAGCATAAGTAAACTAAAATTTAGATTTAAGATTTAAAATATACTTGACATGGTATGAAAGCTATTTTTTAAGTTTCACAGTTTATTTGTCTTTAAGGTTCTCAAAAAGAAAGGTGGGGTGAGAGTAGAAGTCTATTAACAAAAATCATTTTCTTTTGGACAATGGACAGAACATGTCCAGACAGACGTTAATTTAATGAGATAACAATGTAATTAAAATTAAAAGCGAAAATTTCACGATAAATGAATTGAGATTCTCACCGACTAACCCTTATCTAAGCCTAAACAGCATGGGGTGAAAAGTTACCAAGATTTACCAATGTTATTGCCTCTTCCAACAGTGAAGGTAATTCCGAACCCTTGTAAACCGGAGTCAGTGGTTATAGTCACGTACGGACATGAGTAATCAGGGTCCTTATTCTGGAATATAAAATTTTGATAAAAAATATAGATCTAGCTCATTTTATGCATGATAATGTTGATAGACAAGAGTGCAAAAAAAGAAGTCCACATTCATTAAAAATACTAAACAATTTGTAAATAAGATTTTAACATTTTTACTTCCTTTAAATTTAAAGCTTTTAATTTGATGTCATGTTACCATTGCATCTGAGCCATCTTTTTCTAAAGAAGTGGGAAACCGGATATCTTGAACATTGACTGATTTAATAAAATCAGACATCTTGGAAGATCTAAATAATAAAAAAAATTTGAAAAATACTTTTTAATTAACAATTTCGTAGACCTTTTAAATCATAAAAAATCTTTGTCTAAATAGCATGTTTCAATCTTGGAGTATTTCTAATTTTCAGAACAGCCAAGCTATTTAAAATTAAAATTGGGAAATCAAAATTCGATTCAACAACAGATACTGCATTGCCCTCAATCTTGTATCAGTAGTCTCATTTTGGTACCGAATCATCACTAGGAATGCCACCTGTGATTTGCTATAGTCCAGTGTTTCCCAACCTTTTTTTGCACCATGCCCACCTAAGCCTTTCTAAAATTCTTATGCCCCCCATGTACCATACACATAATGTTTAATATTCAAAGATAGGGTTGTTCACTGAAGAAACTTAAATGATAAGTTTTAGAAAGAAATCACTAGGAAATTGGTGAGGAAACATTAAGTAAATTTTCAAAACATTTAATGGAGAACTTAAATTCAAATACGAAATAATTTTAATGAAAGATTTTTCTATATTATTATTTTAATTATTAGTAATTATTTATTATTTAAATTTAGTGAGATATTTGTGCTTGATGCTTGCTGCAAAGAGATTTTATGCTAGCGTCCAATTTAGTTAGCTTCAGTCTCAAGTCTCCCCATTGTTTTATATCCAGCCAATTGTTTTTTGTTTTTTTTGCATCAAATCATTTATGGCACTAAATCTACATTCAGTTAAATATGAAGATGGAAACGGCAACAAAAGTCTTCTTGCATATTTGTTTGAATTTGGATATTTGATTTCTTATTCCTCACAAAGCCATGTCATTGCTCCTTATATATTAAATAAAGTTTTAACTGACTCATCAATGTGCATTTCTGCGAGTTCTTCTTGATACTGCATATTTGAAATATTGAGTAACATTGGCTGCATCATCCAAGTTGGAAAATCAATTTGTTTCAAATCAGAAAATCTTTCTTTTAAATCTGCCAATAGAATTTTCAGATGGTCGACAATAACAAGTTAACGGTATCATTCACTTCACATTTTTGGAGCCAATGAAACTTTTCAAAATTTTTGTTGTTAACATTTTTCTGACATAATTCAAATATCTTCGCTTTTGCATCTACAAGAGTTTTATTGGTTCCTTGAAGTTGGTTATTTTATATATTTTGTTTTTTTCAAAGATGTTGGCTAAATAACTCACAAATGCTTTACCATCGACTGTTAACAGATAGGCTACTTCATATCAGGTTTGTCTCTTTAAAAAACTACAAGCGTATCAAATAGTTCCATAAATCTTTTCAAGCATTTCTCCTTCAAAAGCCATCTTACTTCAGTGTGAGGTAAAAGTCTCATGTAGTGTGCATTTTGTTCTTCACAAAATAGCTTGAAGAGACGTTCACATTTGGCATTGCTTTAATAGCATTGATACACTTTAGAACTGAATTTAGTACTTCATTTAGAACAGGCAAAATGTTTTTAGCTACTAAGTTTTCCCTATGAATAACACAATGCACAAAAAGCATTTCTGAATTCTCATCCTTCATCAAGTTTAAGCAGCCATTTTTTTTGCCCATCATATTAGGTCCCCCAACTGAAGCACAAGATGTTATATTTTTCATTCATATATTATTGAAATCTAAGTAAATTTTTTTAGCTTATTATATATCTATCTTTGGCGATAGTGGTGCTTTCTAAAGATTTACAGAGCAAAATTTCTTCAGCTAAATAACCTTTATCAATATATCTTAAGTAAGTTATCAATACGGCCTCACTGTCTCTTAAAGTTGATTCATCCATTTGCACTGAGAAATTTCTTGTTTTCAGCTTTTCAAAAAACTGTATTTCAATATCTTCACTCATTTCGTCTATTCCTCTGCCAACAGTATTATTACTGAGTGACATAGCTTCCACGTCTTTGTCATTTTTTTCCAGAACCCATTTAAGAAATGCTGATATTGATGGTATGATTAAAATCTCTTCCATAGTATAATTTTTTTCCAGATTTAGCGATGAGTAAGGAAATTTCATAACATAAATGGCCTCAAGAGTACGATTGGCAGTGGCGGTATGAGAAGTAAATAAAGATTTTAATGTTGGTCTTTTTTCAAAATACAAGTTAAATCATAGGTGACAGTTGGTTTTCAATTCTAAACAGCTCATTTTCCTATTGCTCCTCTAAACAATCAAACTGCCCCCCTCCCCTGTGGGGCGTGGGCCCCACTATAGTCTATAGTTTTCATGAAGTTTATTTGCATTCATATTTTGGCTTTAGATCAGGAAACAACTGATATTACATGTCTTAGCTTTTGTATTAAATGTCTTAGCTTTTGTATTACATGTCTTAGCTTTTGTATTTCATGTCTTAGCTTTTGTATTAAATGTCTTAGCTTTTGTATTACATGTCTTAGCTTTTGTATTTCATGTCTTAGCTTTTTTATTACATGTCTTATGTTTTGTATTCCATGTCTCAGTTGTTGCATCTCAGGTAAGAGCAGAGTGCAGTACCAGATTAACATGAAGGCAAATGAAGAGTGTGCCTATAGGGCTTCAACAACAAGAGTTCCCATTTTTGGGAGGGTTGGGGACTTGATTCGATCTTGAATGTACCTGTAATGATGTAATGTATAGTACTGAGTAGTGGACATCTCTGCCATCTCCATCTCGTAATGATGCTATTTATAGCACTAAGTAACGGGCATCTCTGCCCTACCAACCTTGTAATAATGTAATGTATAGTACGGTACTGACAAAGGAGCATCTCAGGCATATCCATCATGTAATGATGTAATGTATAGTACAGAGTAATGGACATCACGGGCATCTCCATCTTGTAATGATGTAATGTATAGTACGGTACTGACAAATGGGCATCTCAGGCATATCCATCATGTAATGATGTAATGTATATTACAGAGTTTTGGGCATCTCCATCGCCATAGTTCTTAATCCAGCACTGGCATAGCTACAATGGCATCCAAAAAATTTATCATAGAGCAGCATCCTCATGGCAAGCAGCAACATTTGCTGTTGATTATAATGATCTGATACTGTAAAAATATTTATTGTGACTTGAGCTTTGTCTCACTGGTTGTGAGGTCCTTTGTATGCCTGGAGTTGACTGTAGAGCCAGAGGTGACTGTAGAGCTAAAGGTGACTGTAGAGCCAGAGGTGACTGTACAGCCATAGGTAACTGTACAGCCAGAGGTGACTGTACAGCCAGAGGTGACTGTGCAGCCAGAGGTGACTGTAGAGCCAGAGGTGACTGTAGAGCCAGAGATGACTATACCAACAGAGAAGACTTTACAGCCAGAGGTGACTATAGATGCTAGAGGTAACTATAGAAGCAAGAGGTGAACATTTAGCCAGAGGTGACTATACAGCAAGAGGTGAATATAAAGCCAGAGTTGACTATACTGGCGCATTCTAGACTTGGATCATAGGCTTAAGTGAAGTCATCCATGTCCAGTGCTCAGATCAGCAGCCAGCTTTTGCTTTCTTTGTGTACACATTTCTTCATTTACCTCTTGTCAGTGAGACTCAAGCATCTCAGTGAAAGCTCCAGCCATTCCTATCAGTGACCAGCAGTTTCAATCTGCATTTTTCGAGGCAAGTTGATGCCAGTTAATGATTGAGCTGGCCTTTGAAAGCTTTCCAGGACTACTTGGAGCTCTTATAATTTGTTTTGCTATATTACTTTATTCGTATTTATCTGCCCAGCATCACAATTAAACTAACAATCTTAAGCATATTGAGTCTGATTCTGAGCCTTCAAATACTTAAAAGTCATTCTTACTGCCGACATGACTTCTACTAAACTTTCTGCATCTTTTAACAACTACAATTTTAAATATTTAAACAGTGCTTGCCTCTACAGTATTGATAATTTATTTCTTTTTAAATAGAAAATGATTAGGCATGGCATAAAGTTAAACTTGGAAATCGAAGCAAAAATAAAACACACAAACACCACATACACAAACTACTGTGGCGTTGCAAGTTCTGTCAGGATTATTGTTGGGAAACCAGCTGATGGTAGACAGTAGAAATTAGAAGTTTAGACTTAGAAGTGAACTTATAGAGATCATGTTTGCTGGGAGCACGCAAGGTGCAAACTGCTATCTTACCTGATAAACCCCCACCTAATTTTTTTTTTTTTTTAAATTTTGCCTAGACCTAAGTAGTAGACTTAGGACTAATTTTTGAATTATTAACTAGGCTAGATCAATTTTTTTTTTATCTAACTCAGTCCTTCTTAGTTATTAGTATTATTAGGCCTAAGGATCACTAAGAATTATAAAGTCAACTTATGACAATGACTTATACTTATGAATAATTAATGATTTATTCATCAAATATTGTATTAATCTAACATATCATAGTCATAGTATGGCAACTCAATGCCAATTGTTATTAATTTACTTGTTTTATTTAATCTCATTATAGTTCTGTTAGTAGGAGGTTAGTCATGACAAAACTGATATTAGCGTTAATCATTTACTTAATACTTAATCATAATATTTTAAGGTACTTAACTTATAATGTTAAGTTTTATTAGATTTAGTTTAACTTTTTTGTTTCAGTTAAATTTATTTTAACTTGTCTGGCTTTCTGCACTTAATTTACAATTAATATTAGAATATACCACAAGAATCTGCAAGATGGGTTTCAAAATGTTTGTATACCACTGCAATCTCATTCCTTAAATAAATGTTTGAATAAAGCTTTATTGAAAAAAAAAATGCACTTATTAACACTAAATAACAGACGTTTTAACATTATTCTTTTATAGAACAATATTTTATTTCTGAATTCATTCAAAAGCTAAGACATGTAATACAAAAGCTAAGACACGTAATACGAAAGCTAAGAGATATAATATCAGTTGTTACCTGATCTATGATATGACATAATTAACATAACATTATTACATTATAGTAAAGCTATGAAGGTAAAATGCCAAGCTCTGAAAATATTTCTAGAACAAAAATTAGAGAAATGCAAACTGAACCAAGCTCATCAAAGCAACCTCAAGCAGACAAATATTAAGGAACAAACTGAGGCTAACAAAGCTGTACAAAGGTTAGTTAGTTATGCCTATGGGCATGGCCCTATCTATGCTAATTAAAAATTATTACTGGGCTAGTAGTGTTATTAATTATGTGAATCAATCAGTTATGAAAATTCTGTTGGCCCAATTGTAATTATCAAATTATCAAACAGTTCAATCTCAATCCCTAATTAAATATTTGAATAAAACCAGGATACATGAAATGGAGTTTCATCCTGGCCAAGTGCCAGACAGACACTGTGTCAGTCTCTAGAAGTGGTACTCCTCTACACCCCCATTTGGAACGGCATAGCCATATATTTGAGCCAGTTTCCTTCTTATGGTACCTCAGTGTTACCATTCAAAGAAAGGTCCACTGGGACAAGCATTTTAACAGTGTTTGCAACCAGGCAAACAAGACCCTGGGGTTCTTACAGCGCAATCTAAGAATCGGCAAAACCAGTGTGAAAGAAAGAGCCTATAAACTATAAAGCCTTTGTCCGGCTGCTTTTAGATTATGCATCTACAGTCTGGAACCCATTAACCCGGAAGAGCATCAACAGGTTGGAGGTGGTCCAGCGACGGGCAGCACGCTTTGTCCTAAACCTCTACAGGAACACCTCTAGTGTTGGCAGCATGCTGGAAACACTGGGCTGGTCACCATTTGAGGAACGACGATGATCATCCAGGCTCTCCATGATATACAAGGTAAATAAAGGGCTTGTCCACTGCTCCAGCATTAAACAGAAACTCATCCCTCTCCCCCCTAGACAGCGACGAGGCCGTGACAAGCAGTTCCGGCTCATAACAGCAAGAACACAGTACAGGAACTGCTCATTCCTGCCAAAGACAATCAGGAACCAGAACAAGCTTCCAAAAGAACAGTTGAGGCAACAACACTTGACACATTTGCATCTATTCCCCCAGGCCTTCCATCCCCCAGTTCATTATACCCTCGCTTAGTGGCCCTTGCAACCAGTGAAATATCCCCTTCAATACCAGGCACAGAAACATTGCAAATTTCCCTCTACATACATAGAAGCCAGAATGACCAATACATTGATTGTGGGCCCTAAATAATATATATTATATAATATAGATGAAGATGAAGAAGAAAAATAGTTGTGTTAAGCCCTAATTATTCTAGCCCCCCTACAAATAATATAACTAACCAAAGGCTGGGCAAAGGGTGTGTAATTAAAAGTAAAGCAATATATTTTTAAAAATTATATTAATCATTAAATCATATTCATATAGTATAGGCTTATTGCCTCTACTAATACTACTATGCCTATATTTTTATTTTTTATTTTAACTGTCACTTACCCTTACGGATGGACTTACAAACTAGTGACTTAAGTTAGACTATAAAATCAATAATCGAGAGACACATGCAGCCTAATAAGTACTATATAATATATAATATAAGACATAAATCGTCATAAGTTGACAGACTGTCGTCACTGTCAGTGTTTCTTTCAGAACCCCCCCCCCACCCCCACTTCAGATTTTCGGGGGTGGGGGCACTTCAGAGTTTTCGGGGGGAGGGGGGCGGCAGTGCTAGCAGTTCCAGTTGATTTATTGTTGGACATATTTTTTCTCGGGGGGGGGGGGGGGGGGGGTCCCCCCCCCCCCCCCTTGAGATATAGCTGAAAGAAAACCTGGTCACTGTGTACTTAGTCCTGTTAGTCAAGTCAATAGCCTGATATAAGTTAATAAATAATGTATAAATATAATATTATTATTATAATCTATTCTAGTCTAACTAAGACTAAAGTAAGTAACACTTTTCTAACGCCTAGGTCCACTCTGAAGTACATTAAATTACTGAAATGCGTACAATACAATACACACCAATTTACACTGTTGCTCATATGCTTTTTTTTAATACTTTTTTTGTAGTATTTATAAATCGTCATAAATGACTTCAGTCTAAGTCTATCATCAACAAATAATAATTGACCACTGTGTCGGATGAAATCCAGGAAAATGTAAATAAAACACTTTTCTGTTTAAGAAACACAGAAATTGGCCGATTGGGGTTAAAGGTCAATCTTATCAGCTGTAGTGAAACTTTTAGTAGGGAAGAATTGTTGAGCGTAGATAATACATGATGTGACATAAGCGTGATAATGAATATCATCAATTGTTCGCTCTGTTATAAATATATTTGACGCAGGAATTATACGCAAATCTTCAGTCTTTAAAAAGAAAAAAATGGCTACAGCTGTACCTGAACTTGAATCTAAACAAAAGGTAAAACAGTAAAACTAATTGACTAATTGAAAAATGCAAATGAGTCGTCGTAGGCGTATCCCCCCCCGGTTTACGACATGTAAAACGATGAGGCCCTTAAACTTAAACTAACTGTACAATACAATATAACTATTAGTCATTTTGGGTAATTTGTTCATAACAGTTCAATCTCAATCCCAAATTAATTAAATATTTCAATAAAACCAGGATACATGTATAACAAAAATAGCATAAATAATTAATGACAAAAGTGGCTATTCGAACCCGGAAAAGAACAAGAGGTTGGCTTTATTTTAAAAAATATTATTGTTGGGTTTTTAATACAAAATTTGGTATCAAATGAAAGATATGCTGTTTCAGATTTAGCGGCCCACGACGACTTTGTTTTGGATTCACTTGCTTCTCCATTTTAACTAAAATAAACTACCACAAATAACATCAGTATCAGTGAATAGCATTTAGTCTAAGTCTAAGACTTTGTACTCATTGTCTGAAGACACTAAAATTAAATTAGACTTGACTAAAGGCTAAAGCTAAAGGAAACCTGGTCCTAGTAGCAGCGATTCAGACCAAATTTTGCTTACAAACGCAAAAATAATCTTTTTTAATAAATATAAATTTCTCACTCTTGAATTCCGGGTCTGAATAGCCACAGCTTTTTTTAAAAAGAATTTAGCTGTTAACCAGAGCCTGATACTGATTAACTTTTAGTTTTAGTTAGTTTAGTACTTTTAGTTTTAGGAGGACTGGTGCGAATGAATTCAAGAAAATCCCCTACCTAAATACTGCACTGTAAAAGAAATGAATTATAGATATTTTTTAAAGACAGGAAACGAACTAAAACTCTGTGAAATGAAAATCAAGTTTTATTTTGTTTTCTTATTCATCTATTTTAAAATGTCAAAATGTTCGTCAAAGTTTAAAGTTTTTCCGAACCTCTTTTAATTTAGAGAAGTCATTAAATTATGATTATTCAGTGATGCCTGAACTTGAAAGTCAAGACTTTTCAAGATTTCTGATTCAATCTTCAAAAGAATTAAATGGGCCATTTAGTCGTGGCTAATTGTTGACCTCAATGTTGATTTTATTATTTTAATTTCAAAAATGACTGATCAATCTATCTCCACACTCCACTGTAACATATCGGCAACAATAAATACATTTGCAGTGCAATAAAAACATTTTGCAGAGTTTTGTGGTACATTATATTCAGCATCTTTTGAAAAGTAACTGCTGCTTTGTCTGTTTTCTTTCAATGGATGGTAATAAGGATGAGAGAATGCAATCAGGTAAGTTTGAAGGAAACAAATGAAACATAGTATGGAAAAACCTGAAAAAACCCACTGCAAAACAATGAACCTGTCAGCAAGAAGCCTTCTTCAACAGAAAAACAAACAGGAACAGAACTATCAAAATTACAATAAACATTTAGCTGCATTGTAGTATCTGAGAGGACAGCAAGAGGAATGTAATGATAAATAATAATAAAGTTTATTTCAAAAACACACTTCATCCCCAAAGGCTCGAAGCGCGGTACAAAGTCCAAAAAAACAAACTGTAATTTACCACATTTAAAACAAACGCAACACCACAAACCTAATTAGAGTAAGCCTGGTGCAAGAGAGCCATTGGCACCATGGTTAGTCTGGCACTGAGGCTAACAAAGCTGGACAGAGCCTAGCTATGCCTATGGGCATGGCCCTATCAATGCTAATTAAAAATTATCACTGGGCTAGTAGAGTTATTAATTAGTCAATCATGGATATTCTGTTGGCCCTACTGTAATCTGTATTGTGTAAAGGAGCCTGATTTAGGAATTAGGGGCCATCCATAAATGACGTCACACGTCTAGGTGGAGGGTGGGTCACATTTTTGTGACCCTATGGGGTTGGAGGGTGGTAAAACAATGTGGTGTGGAATTAAAAGGGGAACTTTATTGAAAATAAAATGGCCTTATTAAGACTAAATTACAGACATTTTTAACATTATTCTTTTAAATAACAATTATTATTTTATTTTTAAACTACGATCACTGAGAGAATCAGGTATGTGAGGTCTGAAAAATGGCCTCTGATCAAGTTGCAGGCCCCCATGGAGCAGGATAATCCGGGTGTAGTGACATTGACAGTCATGAGAAAGTATGTCCCAATGTGAAGACTGGAGCCATAGCACTGAAGCTAACACGTGTAGTGGGATGGATCGAAAAATGGTTGATGCGGTTGGGGGGGGGGGGATCTTGGTAAATGTTCTAGGGCTGGGATTCTTAACCTTTTATCAGTCCTGCATCCCTTCTCAATTTCTAAAGTTTTCCAGTGAAAACCCCTCCCACCACTTCTCCCATTAAAAATATATTGTAATAAAAAAATTTAATAAACATAATTTAACACACAAGATTATTAATAAAATAGAAATTATAATTTTTTTAAAATCAAAGGTTAGCCTTCCTTTAAACTTATTTGAAAAAATGTGATTTTTTTTTTAGCATGCACAGGTGATGTTTACATGTCAATAATAGTCCTGAGAACATATTTTTTATTAATAGTTATGTAGTTATAACCAAGGTGTTCTTTTAACAATTCATATTGTAACAACAATAACATATTTATTTATTTATTTAGGCATTTTTATATAGCGCTTACCTTAAAACTCTAAGCGCTTTACAATTATTAAAAAAATGTAAACTAAGTAAAATAAAAATGAGACACTAGGATTATAACTACTATACTTTAGAAACAATTAAAATGGCTATAAAACGAGGACACTTTGGCACGTTTTGGCCTATACTACAGGATCAACCCGAGACAGAAAATGAGGCAGTGCAAGGAGGGTGCATCACAGGTCATAGGCGGACCTAAACAGATGGGTTTTAAGGGACTTTTTGAAAGAGGACGAAGTTTCACAATGACGGATATGGAAGGGGAGCTGGTTCCAGAACGTGGGCCCATGGAAGTAGAAGGAGCGTTCACCGATGGTCTTAGTTTTGGTTCTTGGGATTGAAGGGTTTTAAGGGACTTTTTAAAAGTGGACGAGGTTTCACAATGACGGATATGGAAGGGGAGCTGGTTCCAGAACGTGGGCCCATGGAAGTAGAAGGAGCGTTCACCGATGGTCTTAGTTTTGGTTTTTGGGATTGAGAGGGTTCTATTGTCAATGGAAGAGCGTAGTTGTCTTGTGGGGATGTAAGGAAGCAACAGTTCAGAGAGATAGACAGGAAAGTGAGGGTCAGTGAACATATAGATTAGTGTAAACATTATTTTGTTGAGGCATTTTTTTTACCTCTTCACTTTTAAGTTTTTAATGTAGATTTAATCAAATTTTTCTAACAAATATTTTAAAGTACCTTCGCATTGAAAAGACTCTAGAAGAGACAGATGAACAGAAAGAATTACCACTTTGGAGAAAGCTATGCTTTGCAGTAGGCGGAGCACCATATCAAATAACGTCAACAGTTATTGGTTTCTTCCTTAATATATTTCTGCTTGAGGTTGCTCTGGTGAGTTTGTTTGAGTTTTCATTTTCTCTAATTTTTTGTTCTAGAAATATTTTTAGAGCTTGTCATTTTACCTTTATAGCTGTGCACTGCAAATATGGTTTGAATAATTGAATTTAAATACATTACAATTGATTACAAGATGAGAAACTGAAGGATGACAAGAATATGTACTTTTTGAAAATTCTGTATTTGTAATATTAATGAGTTTTGCTTGTGTGTGAGAGAGTATACTTGCCTGTAAAGGACCACTTGGATTAGTGGACAACATGACTCAAAGTAGTTATACATTAGGCCATAGCTGAAGTTTTCAAGTAATGTTTAAGGATGCAGATAATATTTTCTAGTGCAGCAGTTTCAAGTGTACTCAAAAACCAACTATAATATTTTGAGTACTGATTTCATAGCAGCTATTTAAAACAAGGTATGTCTACAAAGCTTTTAACATGTACTTAGCAACAATGGTCACACTGGTACTAGATGTTATTTTTAGTTATTGTTTTTTTTTTAATATTTTTTATCCCATACTGTTAAAATGTTAAAATGAAACTGCTTAATTGGCAAATTTATTACAACAGCTTGAGCCCAAATATGTATCAATCATATTGTTCAGTGGCAAGGCTTGGGATGCAGTCACTGACCCAACTATAGGAATATTGGTGCAGAAAACAAATACAAGATGGGGGAAAATGAGGCCATGGTAAGATTTTAAAGTGGCATGTCCCTAAACCTAGATACAACATTATTAAAAGTGTAAAAAATATCATGGTCTTTTAAAGTTACATGTCACTAAATGTAAATTCATCTTCATTAAAAGGTTGTAAAAGGATCATGGTATTTTAACATGGTAATCATGGTAATTAACAAAAGTAAATGTAGTTACATTTTTAATAAAAATGTTAAAGGGTCATGGTAATTTAAAGGTATATCTAAGGAGAGAGAGGGAGGGAAAATGGCCCATTCACATTCAGATGGGCTTACTCTCAAATATTTTTACATTTCCCCATCACCCCCATTCATTGACAGAGGGAAAGCCAGGATCCTGCCTGTTCCTTTGATTCTTAGGTACAATTAATGTAACGTTGATCCATATTTTCATTTAACTCTTTTTTAATGATTCTTTGTTTCAATTAATGTAAAGTTGATCCATATGTTCTTTGAACTCTTTTTAGGGATTTTTGGTTTTAATGAATGTAGATTTGAGCTATGTATCATCTATGCTTTAAATCCCTTACTTTTTACAATTTGCCCTATCTTTTTTCAAGAAACTGCAAAAGAAAATCATATGACTACTAACAAAACAATTAAAATACCATTTTTTTAATATGCATATAGTATAGTAAAATAAGACTCAGTCTAACAAAAGTAAAGAGCACATTAAAGGGAAATTTTCAACAAACTTAAAAAAAAGCTTTTTTATATGTCCAGTTTTAGTTTTTCTTGCAGAAATATATGTAATGCTCAACAAAAGATGACTATATATCTGCTCGGTTAGTCTTATTCAAGTTATTGACTACATGTCATTTAATGTTGCTCATTTAATCTTACTGACTACATGGAGACATGTCATTTAATGTTGCTCATTTAATCTTACTGACTTTGATTCTGACATGTCATTTAAAGTTCATAAAAATTTAAAATATTTAATGGTACTAAAATTTGTTGGTATGTAATATGTATTTTTATCTGCCAGTGGAGCCCATTAAATTAAACAAAGTGCTGCATTGAGACATTTAGTCAACATTACACCAGATAATTAATTGTCAAGCTTAAATGATTTTTGCACTTGTGATTCTTGAATCATTATGTGATAGTAATGCTTGAATGATTGTGTGCTAGTGATGCTTCCATGATTGTGCTAGTGGTGCTTGCAGGAGTATGTGCTAGTGATACTTGAATAATTTTGCTAGTGATGCTTGACTGATCATGTGCAAGTAATACTTGAATAATTGTGCTAGTGGTGCTTGAATGATTATGTGCTAGTGATAAATGATTATGTGCTAGTTTTCTAGTGATGATTTAATAATTGTGCTAGTGATTATTCAATGATTTTGTACAGCAGGGCATTTTTTATCATTGACTTAATAACAGATGTTGGGGGGGGGGGGGGGGGGGGGGTTTTTTTTTTTTGTTGTTTTTTTTTTTTTTGTTTTTTCTTTTCATTTTTAGTTCACAAAGAAATTGTTTTTTTTTTTGCCTTTTTTTTTAAAAAAGCCTTTATTAATTTCTTTATAGGATTCTTTTCTCAACACCAATGGCATGCGCCTGCTACTTCCTTTTGTTTTATATTCCTTGGGGAGTAAAAATTGATGAAAAGGGAAATGAAGTGGTTGATGCTTCTGACTCTGCAAAACTGGGATTTTATTTTGCAATGTATTGTCTCTTTCAAGGTTTTCTGACTGTAAGTCCCTAGACATATCTTATGATGAACAAAAAATAATCCTAAAACTATTATTTATGTTGACAAAACTATTTTACATTTTAAATAAAATATAATTATTTTAGATAGAGTTATTATGATCTTCAAAATTTTAGATCGATTTTTTATGATCTTCAAAGGTAGACCTTATCAATATTTTTATTTTTCCGGAGTTTTAGATGAAACAAAGAAAAGGGCTGTTGATAATTAAAAGATTACTTTGCATTGAAAATGACTGTACTGAAAAATTTACTTTTTTTTTCATTTTCCCAGTAAGTCAGTAAGCATTAAACTTCAAAATAACTTTTAAGCCTCACACTTTATTTCTTCCTTTCAATCAATCTTTAAGTGTTTGGGCGGGAAAACCAATGGATGACAAGGTTTTTTAAAAAAAAATTTTATCCTGCAATTTTTTTAATTAAGTCATAAAATGTTTTATGATATTCAATTAAATTCTAGTGCTTACATGTGCCTTACACTGCAATGACAATGTATGTCACCACACTACAAAAAGAAAGAGATTCAATAACATTTATACGTGAGTTACAGTTTTTTTAACTATGATATGTGTGACTGAGATAATAAAACTGCTTTGGATTCCACGCAAGTTTGCATGATTAAAAATAATTGTTTAAGTCTAATTACTGCTTGATTGTCAAAAATGTGCCACCAGTATGGATAATCAATGTCATATTGAATATGAACAAGGATTATCAAGAGCAAAGATTGAGATAAAACCAATCAATACATATGATTCTGTTGGTATGAAAGAATTTATGGTGTAATTGTGATTTCAATAGTGTGCAAAATAAAATTTCTGATAAATAAGCTACATGAAATTCTTAAAAAACACAGCAAGTGTGTTTGGTGAATAATTTTTTCTTATGATTTATGAAAATAGTTTTAATTTAAATATAGGCTGAAAAAGGGGGGGAGAGTTAATATTAATATAATTTAAGGGCATGAAAAACATTTGCGTTAAAAGATTTATGGGGGGGGGGNGGGGGGAGGAGAATTCTTATCAAGTGCATTACCTGAATGCCTGTTTTTTCTCGTAACTCTAGTAGACGGGAAGTTCACACATTGCTGCTGCCATCCTTTGACATATAGCTAGTACATAATACTAATTTGATTTTGAAAACTTTCTTGTTTCAGGTATGGCATTTGAGGTAACTGGTGTTTTAATAGCTGTGATTGTTCAAGGACTTTTTGTTGGCGATACCAGATGTAAGGGGGACGAAGGAGGTAATAAAAACAGCACAAGTATTGAAACCCAGGTCAGTTGTGAGTTCTAGCATTACAACAGTGATGGGGAAATATCTTTCTCTAGATTGTGTAGTAATTTTTATGCATTCCTGTCTTAAGTGCATCTTTTTAGACGCTTATGCTTCCATTTTTCAGTGTTTCATTATTACAGCCATGGAAAGAATGACAATGTGACATCAATGGAAAGAATGTGTTACGCACTGACTTGTATTGGGAGAAATTAATCTCCTATTTTAATTTTAATTGGCTCGTTGCAAACAGTGCCTAACAAAGGACGATACCATAGAGTCAACAATATTAAAGATACGACACCCAAAACAGTTGCCAGTTACAATTAATAAGATTTATTAAGTCTTAAGATAATTACAAAAGAAAAGAAAATATAATTACAATCTTCAACTTACAGTATGGTAGATCTTGTACCGGTACACAGTTAATACAGTTAGAATAATGTGCCAATGAATAAGGAAGCCCTGCCTTCCAGAAAGACTTATGACGTTTCTAGAACAATCACATTCATTCTACAAAATACTATTTGGAACAGATTAATTATTTTTAGTGGCTGGCGGCATAAACACGACAGATCAAACGACTAAGCCACACCCCTCTGTGAACACAGCGTCTCATGCGGGGTCAATCAGAGGACACGCACGAGACAAATTATGTAAACAAGCTCTATATATTTTTATGCATTCCCGTCTTAAGTGCATCTTTTTAGACGCTTATGCTTCCATTTCAGTGTTTCATTATTACAGCCATGAAAAGAATGACAATATGACATCAATGGAAAGAATGACAATATGACATCAATGTAAAGAATGACAATATGACCTCAATGGAAAGAATGGCAACATGACCTGAATGGAAAAAATGACAATACGACCTCAATGGAAAGAATAGCAATATGACATCAATGGAAAGAATGACAATATGACCTCAATGAAAAGAATGACAATATTACAGCCATGGAAAGAATGGCATATGACAGCCATGAAAAGAATGACAATATTTATGCCATGGAAAGCATTGCACATGACATCCATGAAAATAATGACATGTGATAGCCATGGAAAGAATCACAAAATTAGAGCCATGGAAAAATGTCAAGATACAGTCATGGAAAGAAACACAATATAACGGCCATGGAAAGAATGACATATGACAGCCATGGAAAGAATATCATTAATTTAGCTTCCTACTGATATATTGATTCAAATGAAAATAAGAGATCTTTTTAGATTTTTTAAAATTCTGCCTGAATTAATTAGCTTCATTGAAACTTGGTAACTTAAACATTAAGGACACAGATAGATTCCATTTTTAAAAGGATTTTTAAATACTTTATAGTCACTTCGCTTTTCTACTGTGTTCTTTTCTTTGTTATATTTTCATTTCTATTGTTGGCTGATGAAGGCTTTATGCCGAAACGTCCTTGTTTTTTGTCCTGTTACCTTATTTCAAGCTTCCACATACCTCGTTTCATTATTTCATTCATTCGCTTTTGTTGCTGGGTGGTTGGCTTGGCTGCTGGCAAAATCTTCGGACTGCTAATTGACCCACTTCCCATAAACCTATCGAGCTGAAACTTGGCACATAGACTTGTTGCAGATGACAATACATTCTTTCAAATTTTCAGCTCCCCCCCCCCCATCCTACCACCGAAAACCTGTTTTTCCAGGGAAAGATGAAGTAAATATGATGACCGTGTTTTTAGAAATAAAATTCCCCAAAACTGCACTAAATGAGATACTTTTACACAAATATGACAGTTGCAATGGATGCCTAATATTTTCTTTTGCTTTTCTGAAATAGTTTGTAAAAGAAATCTGTGGTGTAAAAGCAGATGGGGTCGCAACAGCACATTTATTTTACACTCCTGTACCATATAAATATTCTAATGACCCACTTACTTTTACACCACATATTTATTAAATCTTCTATATTTTTTAGGGGGGTAGCACTAATTGGGATTCTTATAATGTGCGTTACTTATATGCATGTTTTGTCAAATTTTCAGCCCCGCCCCCAATTGCTAAGGGGTTGTTTAATTAAAAATAAAATTTACCTGTGCAACAAGTGATTTTTTATTCGCAAATAAAAAAAAGACTTCAAGTCAGCTGCTGGGTAACTTGATAGAAGCTATCATGGAAATTTTGAATCATTTTATTAAATTGCATGTTCCTTTCAATAACAATGTAGCCTATATTTTAAACTCCAGTTTTATGTGATTATATCGTGCCAGTCAGTTTAGCTAAATGACGTAATGATATTCTAACACTAATTCATTAAATAAATTTGTAAACATTGGAAATTAAATTACAGTTTATAAAATTATAATTATTAGTTTTTATTTTGTCCCCAGAAAGATGCTTACATGCACAGTTCTTTTGTTGTTATCTCCCTTTACCTCGTCTGCTGTCTCACAGTGTTCTTTGGTACAAAGGAGAGAAAAGGTCATAATGTGCCATTTAAAGTACAATAAGGCCAGTTATTTTTGCATTTTTTAAAAAATGTGTAATTTGAAAATATGTTTTATCTTTATGTTATATCTTTATGTTAGTTCTTTATGTTAAAAATGCATCAGATAAATGGTAGTGATGTTTGAATCTAAACTTTCCTGATTTTGGCAGGTGTTGTTCAAGATAAAAAAGAGCATCAAATGGGATTTTTCTCTGGGATTAAAATGGTGTTCACATACAAACCCTACCTGTGGGCATCACTCACATTCTTGTTCTTGACAATTGCCATCCAGGTGATCATAAGCATTTTTAATGAGAATCCAAAAATTTGTACAAAATGTATTTTTTCCAATTGCTCATCGATTAAATGAATAAAACAATATTGAAGAATTTTCTTTTTTTAAATTTCAATTTTTAAGAGGCTAAAATAATAAATGTCAAGACATTTCATGCAATTTAACATTGAGCAATAATTTCTCGTTATTATATTTGTCTACAGACTGTCCAGGGAAACATAGCATTGTTCTGTACACACACCTTGAAAGAGGGAGCAGAGTTTTCTAAATTCATCTTGGTTTTACTTGTGAGTTGATGCATGAGAGAACTTATTTATTTATTTATTAAGGTTGGCAATTAATTAGAAAAGTGGTTTTACTTGTAAGATGATGTATGAAAGGGCTTATTTATTTATTAAGGTTGGCAGTTAATTAGAAAAGGGATTGACAACATTTTAAAGTCAAATTTTTTAAAGCTATCTGGTTATTTTTTATGGCATGTAAATTAAGATTGATTTATATGAGAATTATTTATATAAATTAAGTTCAAGCTATATCCAAAATTTTAAACCATCTCTTTAAACTTTTCTTTCTCAAAAATTGTCTCAAGTGTCCTTAATAGATGTTAATGTTAAACAACTGACGAAGCAAATAAATTATTTGAAAATAAATATACCAGACATTTTGCAAATTATCATATGAGACCATTAAGCAAATTAAGACAATTTTCATGTTCAACATTAATTAAGGACTAACAGAAGATTTTTTTTTTTAATTTAATGAGACTGTTAATATCTAAAATGAAAAAGTTTTTAAAAGAAATCTTGATTTTATTTTTCTAATTTTTTTTAAAGGTTGTTTCAATTGTGTCTATGCCTGTTTGGCACTTCATTTCTGGAAGATTTGGAAAGAAAAAAGCATACGCTGCAGGCATGATAGTAAGTAATTGCAATTTGCTTTTATTTTTAATCATCTCCTTAAATTTACAATTTAAATCCATAATATTTTTAATCCTTCCCAGTTAATGCTGCCAATCCTCTTTGCCCAGCTGTTTATGAAGCCAAACTCAAAAATTCTCTACTATTTTATGATGGCATTGGCTGGACTCAGTATTTCTGTCAGCTTCCTTCTGCCTTGGTATGTTAGTGTTGATATGTTGAAAAATGTAATACTTTCATGAAGTAAATTTTGGTTTTTAAATTTGAAATAAATTCAAGAGTCGTTCTATTGTTGTATATGTCATATATGACCATTATAGCACTTATGTATCACCTGTGATGACAATTTCATAAATGATCTTATAAAAGTATTTTTGTTGTGGAGAAAAATTTTACACTTTCACATCTCAATCAAACATTGATCTTAAAATACTGATTGCTTTTTGTTGAGTTTGTGGGTGCAATCTTGTATTTTTATAATACAATATAGAGATCTTAATCTAAACTTTTCTTCCTTCAGGTCAGTCTTACCGGATGTCCTTGACCTTTATATGATTGAGAAGAAGACCAGACATGATGCTTTGTTCTATTCCTTTTATGTTTTTTTTAACAAATTAGCCTCAGGTTTGGCACTGGCAGCCTCTCAGCTTGCCCTTGAGTAAGTTAAACACATTATAATTATATAATTGATTTAATTTGGTTGATTAATTTTAACACGGTGATATAATATCAGTATCTTGAATCAAACATATTCAAGAACTTGCTGTAGATCAAAAAATGGTTCTGAAATTTCTATTAAAAATTTATCTTTTTATTCTAAATATGAAGTTTTAACAACAAAAAAGTAAGCTATAAAGAATTTTTCTATTTCACTTCATATTACGGTAATTTTTAAAAAGTGTTTTTTTTTTAATTTCTTGCTTTATATCATATTTATATTGTAAGTTGCCACACAATAGCATTTAGATATCTAATATGCACATTACTCAATCTAGCCATAAAGTATTTAATTACATAAAATTTAATGCGCAATTACATGTTTCATCTGAACTATCAGATGATAAAAACATGAACAAAGGTTTACTGAACTACTATACTATTATAAGACCAGTTGTAATTTACACAAGTGATACTTGGTCCCTCACCAGAAAAGTAGAGAACCTGCTCAACATATTGGAGAGGAAAATCCTCAGGAAAATATACGGTCCAGTGATAGACAATAAGGGATGGAGAATCTGTTCAAACCAAGGGAAATAACAATTGTATGAAGACTCACCCATAGTTGCAACAATTAAAAAAGGCAGACTGTGCTGGACAGGACACCTTGAGAGGATGCCGGATTGTAGAGCAGTAAATGTGATCTACAGGTAGAAACCTAAGGGCAGACAGCTCACCGGTTTACCAAGACTGAGATGGATCAACAATGCAGAGAAGGACTTACACCAGCAGGAGGGGGGGGGGTCGTCAGTGGAAGGTTGCAGAAAAATGTCCGTTTTGTCTTGGGAGGGATTACCGGACATGGCAGAAAATCCAGGAAATTGGCATTATAGATTACATGGGTGTGGTCACAGGAGGAAAGATTCGGGGAGGGGTCGTCAGTGGAAGGTTGCAGAAAGCCATGGATCGATTTAAATGGAAGGATGTTGTGGAGCAGGCCGGGCCCTACATGGGCTGTGCCACCACCGATGATTATGAAGGTTTACTGTGGACCTAACATCTTAAAATAACATCATTTTTTCCTATTTAATGCAAATAGAAGTTTATCTTCACTATTTCACAGATTTGGTGGTTACATTTCTGGTGAATGCTCCCAGCCTGAGTCAGTTAGTGAAACATTACGGCTGCTTGTCACCCCTGCTCCAGTTGTTCTGGTCATTTTGGCCTTAATTTGCCTGTTTATGTATCCCATCGATGAAGATAAAAGATTATGGATTAAAGAGCAGATAACCACCATGACACTTGAGTGAGTTACAGAGGTCTATTCATAACATTCATTTTCTTTCTTCCATTAATTCACCTACGTTACATTAAGTAGCCAAATTTTGCCTGGAAATTTCTATACTTGATTGGACAGTGTTAAAATTAAAGTATTCTAATGAAAATACAAAGTGTGAAATTCAGGCATTCTATAATATGCCTGAGTTTCACACTTGGCTTTTCAGCATATGTACAAGATGATTCATGATCTTTTTTTAACGTTAATATACACAGTGGCTAAATTATTGTCTTTTGTTGTTCTTGGATCATGAACTTATTCTGATAAGTTCTCTACTGTTATTCTGATAAGTTCTCTACTGCTTTTCTCATAAATACCCCAATGTTATTCTGATAAGTACCCCAATGTTATTCTAATAAGCACTATACTGTTATTCTTATAAGTTCTCTACTGTTATTCTAATAAGTTCTCTACTGTTATTCTAATAAGTTCTCTACTATTATTCTTATATTCAAATGTTCAACAGTGAAATCTTAATGCTCTTGTTTTGATATTGACTACAGCAATGAAAGTTCTTATAACTTATCATAAGTTATTTTTTCACATATTATTTGAACAGAAGAAAACCTTTAAATCAAGTTTTTAATATTTGTGCTCAAAAGACTGTTAACTTTGTTGAGAAAACAGATAACCTGCTAGTTCATTAGTTATGCATATTTAATTTTGTAAAGAAAACATAAATATTAAATTTAAATTGTACTCGAAAAGTTGCAAGCATATCATATAGCCCTATGTCAAAATTTTCCGACCGTATAATATATCATCTATGCCATATATATCATATATACTGTATATATAATATGTATATAACATATATTATATATACTGTATATACCATTTATACCGTATCTTCTCAATTTATTCCATGATCAGCAAATTTTGATTTGATTTCGCACAAGTCGAGATATCTTCAGAATTTTTTACAAAGCACAGAAGAATGGTTTTAGTTATAAATCTTGTTTATTCTTGTGTCGGGTAACTTCCAAATTTAGTAAAGTAAAAATTTATGTCCGGATACTGTACCCTTCCACAGAGTTGACAGAGCTCCACAATTTCTAGACACCAGTAAAAGTTATGAAAGCATTCGTCCACAATCAGATACAGAGATGTAAACCACAGATCATCTTCAGACAGAAGCTGTGTATGCAGTTACATTATGCTACTTATACTGACATGTAATAACGAGGTTTTCCTGTTACAATGGGAGGTTTTGTTTCGTCTTTCAAATAACCTTATTCAAAACAACGAAATCACATGAACATTTTACTATTCTTTCCTCTTGTGTAAAACTTCTATTAATAGAGTCATGTCCCTAAAAGTTATATTGTGAGAATATTTATTTTATTCTCTCCACCATTTCACAGGATATGTTATGCAATACTGGGCAAGATTCAATCTACATAAAAATTATATTTCTGCTTGTGCACAATGTAAAACTCAGGGTAAGATGAACAAGTGCAAAAATATTATTATTCATAGCTCAATGTGCTACAATATAAATAGATTTTTAAATTACATTTATCGGGCAAATAATCATATAATGATGAGACTTTTTATATGGTACTGCACAAAGGAAGATTTGTATTTATTTGAATTTATTTCTTCATTGCAACTTTTTTTAATCATAAAATATTTTTCTTGGGGACAATATTAAAAAAAAAATTATTGAGAGTTAACCAAATATTTTGCATTTATTTAAAATACTCACTCTGTCTGTTTGTATTGGTAGATTATAATTTTATTAGTAAATCTGTGGATTGAGTATTTTTGTTTACACAATATATTTATTTTCAGATACACCTAATTATTTATACTGCTGATTGATCAATCAAAAGCTCAAATTCACATTTTTTCCTTGAAAATTATTTTTTTAATGGGAATTTCAAATTTTATCAGTAATACAAGAACAACATATCACAATATGTAACAAGTAAAAGTAATTAATGTGAAAATGTTCAAAAATTATGTATATTTTCAATCTTTCATCATATAGCTATATTATTAAGTGGTTGTCCATGTGTTATAAATATACTGTACCAAAGTCTTGTTTCATGTTATAAACTACGTGAAAGAGTTTTATGCAAGGATATATATTTACAATTGTCTCATTTGTATGTTAAATTTCAGCTACCATATTCCGCAGCTTATAAGATGCTGTGATGCATTAGACGCTCTCCCCCCAAAAAAAAAGTTTGTACCCTGTACATCACAGACCTAGCTACTATCCCCATTTGTTTTTACCCTGTACATCACAGACCTAGCTACTATCCCCATTTGTTTTTACCCTGTACATCACAGACCTAGCTACTATCCCCATTTGTTTTACCCTGTTCATCACAGACCTAGCTGCTATCCCCATTTGTTTGTACCCTGTAAATCATAGACCTGGCTGCTATCCCCATTGGTTTTTTACCCTATACATCATAGACCTAGCTGCTATCCCCATTTTTTGTACCCTCTATATCATAGACCTAGCTACTATCCCCATTTCTTCATAGATCTAGCTACTATCCCCATTTGTACCCACTGATCACCATATTTCATCATGACAACGTGACTAATCATGACAAATTCAGGATGGTGGACTAACTTTACCTGAAATTGCGGTCCAATTATAAGGTTCAGTTTGATTTGTTGGTATGAGTTGGTTAAAACATATGATAGTGCTTAACATATGCTGAGAATTTACCCCACAGCCCAAACTATAACTCCTGTCACTTACTTTTGGTTTATAGGATGCAGAATTCTTTTTGGAAATATTTTTTAGGGAAATAAATTTGACTTTAAGCTGCAAAATACCTGAACACTGTAAAAAACATACACTTTAAATATTTTTCTTTTATCATATCAAAATATATTGCAAATTTCTTCATGTTATTTGTGTACGATAATATACAATTTTATAAAAGTTTCATTTGTTATAACATAAGTTATTGTTTGAAAAAAAAAAATTAAGAGTGTTCAAAATTAAAATGTATTATTTTGTTAGTTTTCTTATTTTAAATTTGCTAAATTTCTCAAACTGAAAAAATTGTCTGGATCTAACATAATGCTCAGTTTGTTTAATTAGCAAGAAGAGAAATAAATATTATTATGGCAAAAAAATAGTTAATAAAAGTATTTGTTTACTTTATATTAAATGTATTGAAAAGATGATGTAAAAGATTTTAGCCTTAATTTTATGTATACAAATTTTTACAATTTTAGGCAATGGGTTATTGTCATTTTTATTCCAAAAATTCTTGAATTTAACTTGTTTTATTAATGTGAGATTTTTTATAGGTACTTAAATTTATTAAGAAATACAGCATTTCTATCTTCTCTGAACTGGTTCAGATGTCTGATGCCATAACTGTTGCCTTGCACATATCTTGAGGTAAACATTTAATACCTCAAATGTTCATATGTCATATGTTATATGAAGGTTAAAAATATTATAACCTTTGCCCTCTAACTTAATTCTCACTTGGATTTATGTTAATATATATTTTTTTTACATGTTTTAATGATTAATGTCCAAAAATTATTTTTGATATTAATGATTTGCAAAAGAAATTATTACTTCAAAGTGGCCTTTATTAATCATCTAACTTAGCTCAGATACTTTTTAAACTGTGTGTATTGTTTTATAACTCTGCCATGATGAGCCTGACCGTTGTGACACATGAGATTAATTCTTTGACATGTTGAGACAGATAATTGGTACACATGAGATTAAATATTTGGCATGTTGAGGCAGACAATTATGACAAATGAGATTAATTCTTTGGCATGTTGTGGCAGACATTTGTGACACATGAGATTAAATCTTTGGCAGGTTGAGCCAGACAATTGCGACACATAATATCAAATCTGATGTCAGATGCCCATGAATACAGTTTTAAAAAACATGGATGTTTTATGAATATAATATAATGTCTAATCAAAACTTTCTCTTGAATTCAAACTTAAAACAGCTAGACAATTATGCAAGCTATTTACTCAAATCTATTTTTAGAAGCTAATAATTGTACATAAAAACAAATGTAAAATCAAGGCCTTATCTCTAGCAAATGACTGGATAAATTATGTTAATGTACTTAATTTGCTGTATTTCCTCCCAGAAAAATGCTACTGCATTTTGTTTCAAAAGAGATCTATAAAAAAAATAATCAGGACTTCGATAGCATTGCATGTTATATCACATTTATTGGTTGATGACAACCTTCTAGCATTGTATGTTATATCACATAAATTGGTGACAATCTTCTTGCTGTTTGAGATAAATAAATCAATATTGGGCTGATATTTTTAGTTGGTATTGTATGTATGTTAATATATTCATCTTGTCATGTTGTAGATTCTGAGGATTATTATTGTGCTGGATATGTTGTATGTCAACTGACTAATTCAGTGAAACTGAATTTCCAAATATGTTCCACTGCCAAAGAACAGTAACACATCAGTTAAAATATCTTGTGTGATAAATATTTATATTTGTTATGTATGTGTTGTTTGGTCATAGGGTTTTTGGCATGTGGCTCTTGAAACCTTTGTAGGTTACTGATCAATTTTTAAGATTAAGGGGAGGCATTTTCTTTTCTTGCCTATAACACAAATATTTATAAGGCCGGCATTGTTGAGCCATTAAAGAAATTGTTGAGGTAGAGCTTTTCAATATTTTTAGTGAATAATCACAAATTTTATAACAGACATCCCTTAGTGGTGGCTGTAAAATATGGATGACCTCAAACATAAATCATTTGATTTAAGTCAACCAGAGAACAAACTATTCACTTAACTAATCACTGTTAACTAGAACCCATCACTTATCAAGCAGCTATTCACTTAACTCATCACTGTTAACTAGAACTCATTACTTATAACTAGAACTCATTACTTAACTAGCAACTATTTACTTAACAAATCACTGTTAACGAGAACTCATCACTTAACTAGCAGCTATTCACTCAACTAATGACTGTTAACTAGAACTCATCACTTAACTAGCAGCTATTCACTTAACTAATGACTGTTAACTAGGACTCATCCCTTAACTAGCAGCTATTCACTTAACTAATCACTGTTAACTAGAACTCATCACTTAACTAGCAACTATTCACTTAACTAATCACTGTTAACTAGAAATCATCTCTTAATGAGCAACTGTTAACTTAACTAATTACTGTTAACTCGAACTCATCACTTAACTTGCAACTTTTCAGTTAACTTATCACTGTTAACTAGAACTCATCACTTAACTAGCAACTATTCACTTAACTAATCACTGTTAACTAGAACTCATCACTTAACTAGCAACTATTCACTTAACTAATCACTGTTAACTAGAAATCATCTCTTAATGAGCAACTGTTAACTTAACTAATTACTGTTAACTCGAACTCATCACTTAACTTGCAACTTTTCAGTTAACTTATCACTGTTAACTAGAACTCATCACTTAACTAGCAACTATTCACTTAACTAATCACTGTTAACTAGAACTCATCACTTAACTAGCAACTATTCACTTAACTAATCACTGTTAACTAGGACTCATCCCTTAACTAGCAGCTATTCACTTAACTAATCACTGTTAACTAGAACTCATCACTTAACTAGCAATTATTCACTTAACTAATCACAGTTAACTAGAACTCATCACTTAACTAGCAACTATTCACTTAACTAATCACTGTTAACTAGAATTCATTACTTAACTAGCAACTATTCACTTAACTAATCACTGTTAACTAGAACTCATCACTTAACTAGCAACTATTCACTTAACTAATCACTGTAAACTAGAACTCATCACTTAACTATCATTATTCACTTAACTAATCACTGTTAACTAGAACGCATCACTTAACTAGCAACTATTCACTTAACTAATCACTGTTAACTAGAACTCATCACTCAACTAGCAACTTTTCACTTAACTAATCACTGTTAACTAGAACTCATCACTTAACTAGCAACTTTTCACTTAACTAATCACTGTTAATTAGAACTCATCACTTAACTAGCAACTATTTACTTATAAAATGATTAAAACAGAGTAGGGTTAAACCTGAAAAAAATAAACGCAACAAAACAGCGAACGTGTCGGCAGAAAGCCTACGTCTGCGAACAAAACAGAGTAATAAGAGAAGAGACTGCAATCAGGATAGTACAATATAAAATGGTTTTGTGCCTCTAAAGGAGACAATTGGTACTGGTATGACTGAATTATGTTTCGGCAGTTAGAAGAGATGTCTTTATCTATCGAAAATTTACGCGGTCATGTATATGACAATATAATGGCAGCAATATGAAGGGAAAAGACAATGGTGTCCAACGAAAAATTTTAGATATCAAGTGATCTAGTGCAACGTGGTTATGTATACTTTTCTGCATCAACTCGTCGTTGGGAAGTTTTTAAATCGACATGTTTCTAAACCACCGAGTGAAACAAGATGGTAAAGTCGAATTGATGCTTTGAAACCTCTTCGATATCAGCTTAGTGACGTCTACGATGCTCTGGCAGAGCTTGCGGATGACACAAATTTAAGAGGAGCATCTGGTAATACATCACGAACCGATGCACAGGGTATTGCAAAAGCCATTTTCTAGTTTTAAGTTTGTCGTTTCTCTGGTTGTACGGTATGACGTGTTGTTTGAGATCAACATGACCAGTAAACAACTTCAGGCAAAAGAATTAGATCTAAATGGCGCCATCAACCATCTGGATGAAACAACGAAGTTTCTCGTGCACCGCAGAAATGACACGGAGTTTGAGAAAACACTGGTGAGTCCAGCTGAAATTGCAGTCATTTTAGAGCTACCAGCACTTTTCGAACCAGAAACAACCCGTAGCAGAAGAAAGAAGAAACAATTTGCATACGAAGCAGATGACAACAAACCTATTCAGGATCCAAAAGACAAATTTAAAGTAAACTTTTATATGGCTGCTCTTGACATATACAGATTCTATTCAATGTGAATACCAATGGAAACAGACGCCAGCACGGTATTCATTTGTGAAAGTGGGGGGGGGGGGGGGGGGGGGGGGGGCGCAGTGCGACAGGTTCGCCTAGAGTGCCTAATACTCTGGCGCCGGCCCTGGGTGTAGTGTAGAAAAGTCTAAAAAAAGTAGACAGTACTCTTACTCTTACCAAGACCAAGCCATTTTACTTAAACTTAAACTAAAGCGTACTCTAAATAACTCAACTGCTCTGTTTGAAAAGTTTATTTATTACACATTTGCAAACTATATTTTTTCCAAAGATAAGTTAATATCATGTTTAGTAATCCCATTTCATTTCAATACGTAATATCATATGACTGTCGGCTTATAGTAACATTAGAGAGTATTGGTCGCTGTGGTAACCATCAAAACAATCCCAAGGACGGATAACTCTCTGGAACTGTTTCTTCATCATTCAATAATTAATTAATTGCTCGTTAAAACCTTCTTAATTTAAACGTAAGCTCTGATAGAAACTCTTCCTTTAAAATAGCATTTAATTGGTGCCGTTTATATTCTCAATTTTTTTTTTCAAAATGAAAATAAGCCACAAAGGAATCTGTTCCATTTGCCAAGCATTTAATACTAATTAATATTAGTAATATCGTCTTCTTTGCGGTGGTGGTTTGTTGATGTAACTGTAGTAGATGACCGAGCAGAAGACCGCAACGTTGAACACTTCACTAGACACCAGGTTGACAAACATCGGGAAATCTTTGGTGATCACAACAGTAGTCAAGATTCGGACTGAGGAAAGATATGGTTTCATTGGGTGTTTACAACAGTTGTCAAGATTCGGACTTGGGGAAAGATATGGTTTCATTGAATGGTCAGAACATTAAGTCAAGATTCGGACGTATGAACGATATTATATCTTCTGTTCTGATCCAGATAAGCTATTTACCACAATGGACTTTCTAGTGTTTCATTCTGCGTTTTATAATGATCTTTTAAAGTAAAGATGAACTGTCTTACACCAACCACAAATTTTGACTGAATCGTGATGTCAAGTGTATGTCAAGTGTGATGTCAAGTTTGATGTCACGTGAGCTGCCAAATGTGATGGGTAAGTGAGATGTCAAGTGTCATGATGAAGAGTGTGATGTGAAGTGTCAATTCAACAACTGTGGTTTCAAGTGAGATGTCGTTTCAGAAGTTACGTGTAAGGGCAACTGAGATGTCAAGTTTGATGTCGAGTGGGAGGTCACATAAGATGCCAAGTGTGATATCAAATGTGATGTAGAGTGTGATGTCAAGATGTCAAGTGAGATTTCAAGTGTGATGACAAGTGAGATGTCAAGTGTGATGTCGAGTGAGATGTCAAGTGTGATGTCAAGTGGGATTTCAAGTGTTATGTCAATAGAGAAGTCGTGTGGTGTCAAGTTTTATGACGCTTGTTAAAAAGTACGTCCAGCACAGGAAGTTGTCAACTCACCAGCAGTATTATAAGCCGCAATAAACCACGTGATGGCGCTGACGCTACCAGCGTTACCACTTTTTAATATGAGCAGGAGTTGATTCAGCTTACTCCAACAGAGCATCGGAGTCGTGGCGCTCTAAGATAGAACAAATGTTTAACAGCAACAACAGAGATGTCACGTGCGTTGGGCAGGGGGAATCAGAGAGTACGATAAATGAAAGTCATGAGAAATTCTTTTGATAGCCATAAGTGTGTCCCACGTAGTGGCGTGGCTAAGGGGAGGGGCAGGGGGGACAGATGTCCCTGGGCGCCAGACTAGTTAGGGGGACGAATGTCCCTGGGTGCCAGACTAGTTGGGGGTGAGGGGTGGCAGGGGGGGACAGATGTCCCTGGGTGCAAGACTAGCTAGGGGAGCCAAAAGTGCTTTGATATTATTAAACGTGCCAAAGTGTCCTCGTTTTATAGCCATTTTAATTGTTTCTATAGTATAGTAGTTACTATCCTAGTGTCTCATTTTTATTTTACTTAGTTTACATGTTTTTAATAATTTTAAAGCGCTGAGAGCTTTAAGGTAAGCGCTATATAAAAATGCCTAAATAAATAAATAAATAAATATTATTTTATGGATGAAAATAATGGGTTTGAGAGTTTAAAAAAAAAAAAAGAAAGAAAGAATGGGAGGCGCTTTAAAATGAATCTTGTCCCCGGGCGCCAAACACTCTAGCTCTGGTCCCACCAAGCAAACAAAATAAATCTGTATCATCCCATTGAGAAAACGAGAAAATAGAACGTGTGTTATTTTGTTTCAATATTTATTTATTTATTTATTTAGGCATTTTTATATAGCACTTACCTTAAAGCTCTAAGCGCTTTACAATTATTAAAAACATGTAAACTAACTACAATAAAAATGAGACATTAGGATAGTAACTACTATACTATAGAAACAATTAAAATGGCTATAAAACGAGGACACTTTGGCCCGTTTTGGCCTATATATATCCGTCTGAGATCCTACCTACTCTTAACACTGGATGTGAATTGAAGTGAAACAAAGCTTTTAGTTTAAGATGCTCAACTTACGATACTGATGTACATCACAGCGTCGGGGTACATACGCATGGCCATCGATATAAAGAACACAAAGTATCTGATATGTTCGTAAGGAAATATTTGAGTTCAAAATAAAAATGACCTCGGTGGTTTGACAATCATTGATTTCACTAGATCAATTTTTCGTACATTGTACACCATGTCATTGAATGTAAACTATATCATTGAATGTACACCATGTCATTCATTTTACACCATGTCATTGAATGTAAACTATATCATTGAATGTACACCATGTCATTCATTTTACACCATGTCATTCATTTTACACCATGTCATGGAATGTTCACCCTGTCATTGAATGTACACAATGTCATTCATTTTACACCACGTCATTGAATGTACACCCTGTCATTGAATGTACTCCATGGCATTGAATGTACACAATGTCATTCATTTTACACCATGTCATTTATTGCACACCATGACATTTATTCCAAACATGTGATTAATTGCACACCATGTCATTTGTTGCACACCATGTCATTTATTGCACACCATATCATTATTGAGCACCATGTCATTTATGTGTCATTTATTGCACATCATGTCATTTATGGCACACCGTGCCATTTATTGTACTCCATGTCATTTATTGTACACCATTTCATACTATACACCACGTCATTTATTGTAGGCCCTACTCCTCATCGTTTTTTGGCATACCATGTACTTGCTTGCATTCAATGTTATATTGTTATATCACATAAATCATATAGTGTATTTTATGTGCCAGATCTTGTATGATAATCCACGATTAGCATTAGTGCCAGTTTTAAGACAATCGACGATTAGCATGAGTGCTATTTTTAAAACAATCCATGATTAGCATTAGTGCTAATTTTAATACAATCCAAGATTAGCATTAGTGCTAGTTTTAAAACAATCCATGATTAGCATTAGTGCTAATTTTAAGACAATCCACAATTAGCATTAGTGCTAGTTTTAATACAATCCATGATTAGCATTAGTGCTAGTTTTAATACAATCCAAGATTAGCATTAGTGCTAGTTTTAAAACAATCCATGATTAGCATTAGTGCTAATTTTAAGACAATCCACAATTAGCATTAGTGCTAGTTTTAAAACAATCCATGATTAGCATTAGTGCTAATTTTAAGACAATCCACAATTAGCATTAATGCTAGTTTTAATACAATCCAAGATTAGCATTAGTGCTAGTTTTAATACAATCCAAGATTAGCATTAGTGCTAGTTTTAAAACAATCCATGATTAGCATTAGTGCTAATTTTAAGACAATCCACAATTAGCATTAGTGCTAGTTTTAATACAATCCATGATTAGCATTAGTGCTAGTTTTAATACAATCCAAGATTAGCATTAGTGCTAGTTTTAAGACAATCCAAGATTAGCATTAGTGCTAGTTTTAAGTGAAGGATACACAAAGTAATAGCGCAGTATGCTCGGCTCGATGAGCTTCCTGTTCTTCAATATCAATAGAATCAGTATGAGATCTGGTCAATCAAACAAATAGAATCAGTATGAGATCTGGTCAATCAAACAAATAGAATGAGTATGAGATCTGGTCAATCAAACAAATAGAATGAGTATGAGATCTGGTCAATCAAACAAATAGAATCAGTATGAGATCTGGTCAATCAAACAAATAGAATGAGTATGAGATCTGGTCAATCAAACAAATAGAATGAGTATGAGATCTGGTCAATCAAACAAATAGAATGAGTATGAGATCTGGTCAATCAAACAAATAGAATCAGTATGAGATCTGGTCAATCAAACAAATAGAATGAGTATGAGATCTGGTCAATCAAACAAATAGAATGAGTATGAGATCTGGTCAATCAAACAAATAGAATGAGTATGAGATCTGGTCAATCAAACAAATAGAATGAGTATGAGATCTGGTCAATCAAACAAATAGAATGAGTATGAGATCTGGTCAATCAAACAAATAGAATGAGTATGAGATCTGGTCAATCAAACAAATAGAATGAGTATGAGATCTGGTCAATCAAACAAATAGAATGAGTATGAGATCTGGTCAATCAAACAAATAGAATGAGTATGAGATCTGGTCAATCAAACAAATAGAATGAGTATGAGATCTGGTCAATCAAACAAATAGAATGAGTATGAGATCTGGTCTATCAAACAAATAGAATCAGCATTGAGATCTGCAGAGAGCATTTATGAAAACGTCTATTTCAATCAAGGTTGTTGTTTTTTATTTCAGCATACCATTTTGGGCGACAAAAGTCAATCTCAATAAAGATCGGAGACTATAAGTCATTATGGATAAGGAAGATAATATAAGTGGGCGAAAGAATGAAAGGACTGATGGATAGTGGTACACTCAAGTTTAGAGCATTTTCTTCAAACAATTTCAGCACTTTTTTTCACAGCATTTCAAATATTTGATTTACATGAAATTTAGTGGTAAAAAGTAAGGGTAAGGAATTGCTGTATGCTCATAATATGTTTAGGGACTGCTTTCATACTGTGTTAAGTAAGTAAATAAACAGGGGAACAAGATATGTTTAGTATAATTTATGAGTATAATATATGAGGGACTTCGTTCATACCTTTCTAGTAAATAGATAAGCTGTTGAACGAGATATGTTTAGCATAAAATATTAGGGTCTGCGTTCATAACCCGTGTCTAGTAAATAAATATTTGAACAAGATATGATTAGTAACATACATTAGGGGCTTTGCTCATACTGTGTCAAGTTAGTAAATAAACAGTGGCACAAGATATGTTTATTTCGAAATGAACAGAGAAGGCGATTTAAATGACGCATCGGCTGGACGCCTTCGTCGGACAGAGTTACTTGCCTTGAAATACTGTCACGTTACTTTCGAAGTATGTTTCCAGTGGGAAGCCCATTGCAAACTGATACGTTAACATAATCGTATACCTAAAACAGATAGGTTTATGTGTTAGCCATTTGCCTTGTGGTGTCAGTTTCAATTAAAGACAGTATAGAGTGGACTGGTCAATTTTACAGCGGTTCCCATTCTTACCTCAATGCTGATGTTAACCCGTGAATGAATCATGAAATGTTGATGAACTGAACAAATTAAACATTTAGAGACGATGTGTACAGACTAGGTGGATGAACATTTGATTTGGATGAACTTTCTGTCAATTGGGCATTCGGAAAATCTCAAGTTGTAGGTAGCATTCATCAGGGGCGTCTACGCAGGGGCGGGGATAGACGCCCATGGCAACCATTCAGTGTCTGGGAAACGTGGATTTTAAACAAAAAGGAATCTGGGACCCAAAGGTGGCCCTGTTGTGACAGGTGGCCAAAGGTGGCCCTGTTGTCAAAGGTGGCCCTGTTGTGAACGGTGGCGAAAGGTGGCCCTGTTGTGATAGGTGGCCTAAGATGATCCTGTTGTGCCAGGTGGCCAAAGGTGGCCCTGTTGTGAAATGTGGCCAAAGGTGGCCCTGTTGTGACAGGTGGTCAAAGATAACCATGTTGTGACAGGTGGCCAAGGATGACTCTGATGTAACCGAGGGGGGGGGGGCAAAGATTACACTGTGGTGACAGGGGAACAAATATTACCAAAAAACTGTATCTTTCTAGTTTCTAAAAATAAACAGTTCCAAGTTAATCAAACACGTCTCAAACTGATACTTACGCCAGCCCTTCAATGATAACACGTCTCAGACTGATACTTACGACAGCCATTCAATGATAACACTTCTCAAACTGATACTTACGCCAGCCATTCAATGATAACACGTCTCAGACTGATACTTACGACAGCCATTCAATGATAACACTTCTCAAACTGATACTTACGCCAGCCATTCAATGATAACACTTCTCAAACTGATACTTACGCCAGCCATTCAATGATAACACGTCTCAGACTGATACTTACGCCAGCCATTCAATGATAACACTTCTCAAACTGATACTTACGCCAGCCATTCAATGATAACACTTCTCAAACTGATACTTACGCCAGCCATTCAATGATAACACTTCTCAGACTGATACTTACGCCAGCCATTCAATGATAACACTTCTCAAACTGATACTTACGCCAGCCATTCACATTTAATATATAACATTTCTCTGATACTTACGCCAGCCACTCAATGATAACACTTCTCAGACTGATTCCGAAAGACGAACTCGTGCGAATGATGACGACCATCTGAGGCAGCTTGTAGATGAGAGTGTTGATGATCACAGTGAAACTCAGCACACGGCACACCTGCAGCAGAATTTCGTTCACATCTTCCGTGTTATCCACATCATAGCTAGCGTCTTCCATTCCCATTGGTCTCTTCTGATACTGGCGCCAGACGGTACATACTCGAATCTATAAGAACTACAGAAGCTACGTTGGTTTATTTATCATGTAATTCCCATTATAATGACATGTTCATGGGAAGGATGATAAATAAGTTGAAATATTTCAAATGCTGCACGGATGGGAGCGAATCAATCATAAATATATATATATATTTTTTTTTTAATTCTTAACTTATTTTCATATTAGTTTCAAGAATGTGTTTAAAGAGAGTTAATGCCCTTGTCAGGATTGTTCGCGTAGAGTTGTTCATTTCAAGTGGGCTGTGGTGCAAACATTGTTGGGTAGCATCGGGGATTTTTTTGATGATTGATTGATTTGATATTTATAACGCGCTGGTATCCATGCCATTTTAGCATGCTCACTGCGCTCTGGTCCTCCGAAATCTATTTAAACAATTATTTTTTTTAAATTGTTTCTTAAATGATGTATCATTTACAATTCTCCTCAAACATTGAGGCAAACTGTTCCATAATTTTGGCGCTATCGCTTCAAAAGAGCGCACTCCGTAAGACTTTTTTCTGTGTTCACCAACTCACACTAGGAACACTCAGTAAATACTGTGTTGAAGACCGCAGGCTCTTCAGGGATACATGTTTATTAATCAGTTCCTTGAGATACTCCGGTGCTGAGCCATCTATGCAGCTGTACGCCAGGGACAGAATTTTGTAGTTAATGCGCTCACCCACAGCAGGCCCGTTCTTAGGCACACGCTGACTACGCATCCGCGTAGGGCCCCGAACGTGAGGGTGCCGCCGTAGGGCCCCGAGCGTGAGGGTGCCGCCGTAGGGCCGCTTAACACCTAAGGGATATAGCAATGATGCACACACAAACAAATTATTGATAGCCGGGGGCGATCTCCTTCCTCAAAATAAGGAAATAAGTGCCACCAGAGCCATTCTTAGGGATATAGGCAAACAAGGCAAACGCCTAGGGCCCCACTACCACCTGCATGTCCATATATTTCAGAAGTACACATTTTCTCTAGTGGCGGAATTATCAATATGGTTAGTGGTTACACGTGAGCAAAGAGGAAACATTGATGAAGGCAGAATGGAGGAGCCGCAGTGGTGGGTGCAGTTTTCTCCTCAGCTCGAGGGAGCTCCACCCCCGGACCCCCAATCCAGGGCCCCCAACATGCGCTCCATGCTTAGGGCCCCCAAACTCCCAGAACGGCTCTGCTCACAGGAACCACAAGCAGACTGACATGCTGGTAATGGACTTCGCAAAGGCATTTGACCGTTGGAATCATAGTTTGCTTCTACACAAACTCCAGAGATATGGGATCCAAGGCACCATTAAAATATGGATCTCTAGCTTCCTCAGCCACCGATGCCAAGCAGTAGTGGTGGACGGTGCAAGCTCCTCCTTTGTCGATGTGAAGTCAGGGGTCACCCAGGGATCAGTGCTGGGCCCCTGTTTGTTCCTAGCATACATTAATGACCTACCCAAGAAACTGACATCACAGGCAAGACTGTTCGCAGATGACGCAGCGGTGTATAGGACGATCGCCAACAGATCTGACCAGGACCAGCTACAACAGGATCTCAATCTGTTAGCTGAGTGGGAGATGAGCTGGGACATGGAATTTCACCCTGCCAAGTGCCAGACACTATCAGTCTCTAGAAGTTGTACTCCTCTACAATACCAATACGAACTGCACGGCCATATACTTGAGCCAGTTTCCTCCGTAAAGTACCTGGGTGTTACCATTCAAAGAGGGGTCCGCTGGGACGAGCATATTAACAATGTATGTAACCCTGGGGTTCTTAAGGCGAAATCTAAAGATTGGAAACTCCTGTGTGAAAGAAAGAGCATTTAAAGCCTTTGTCCGTCCGGTTTTAGATTATGCATCTTCAGTCTGGGACCCATTTACCCAGAAGAGCATTGACAGGTTGGAGGTGGTCCAGTGACTAGCAGCACGCTTTGTCCTAGTGTTGGCAGCATGCTGGAAACACTAGGCTGGTCACCATTGGAGGAACGACGACGACAATCCAGGCTCTCCATGATGTACAAGATAAATAATGGGCTGGTCCACTGTTCCAGTATTAAACAGAAACTCGTCCCTCTCCCCACATAGACAGCGACGAGGCCATGACAGGCAATTCAGGCTCATACCAGCAAGAAGCCAGTATAGGAGCTGCTCATTCCTGCCCAAGACAATCAGGGACTGGAACAATCTTTCAAAAGGAACGGTTGAGGCGACAACACTATACACATTTGTGTCTATTGCCTCAAGCCTTCAAACCCCTAGTGCATGATTCCCTCACAAAGTGGCCCTGGAAATCAGTGAAATTTCCTCATCAACACCGGAACAGAAACATTACAAATCCCATCTACATGCATAGGAGCCAAAATTATCAATAAATTAATCTTGGGCCCTTAAGATGTAGAAGAAGATCTGGTAGAACTGGTGTGATGTTGTCAGATTTTTTCATCCGCGATACAATGCGTGCAGCAGTATTTTGTACCTTATGGAGTCTCTGGATTTGGTTCTGAGGTAAGCCCCACAAACAAATATTACAGTAATCTAATCTTGACTGGTTGAGAGTTACTGCTACAGCATTGGCTGTTCTCCTTTTGAGTTGAGGACGCAGCTGACCCAGGGCACGCAGATGACAGAAGCATGCCTTGACAACAGAACTGATATGGGGAATCACACTAAGTTTACTGTCATTATAAAAGCCAAGGTCTCTGACAGTCGAGGACAACAGGATCTCTGATTCACCAACTTCTATTGATGCAATGGTAACTTTCCAAAGATTTGCGTCTGAACCACAAATAATTGCCTCAGTCTTATCATCATTTAATTTTAGTCTGTTTGATGACATCCAATCTTTCACAGCAAGACAGCAGTCCTCGACAGCCTGAACAGCAGTAGCACACTCCGAGGGATCAGAGCGGAAACACTTGTATAGTTCTGTGTCATCTGCAAATATTTTGCGGGAAATACCATGACTTTCAATAATTTTGCCGAGCTGGCTGTTGTATAATACATTCTGATTACAATCGTGCAGAAGTGGGACGTGGGTGACAATCGGTTGCCGTCCTAACCAATTCAGGTCCTTGCATTCAAAGTTAATTTTTCCCACACCACAACTTTGGCCCCCTTAAATATCCTAGGCGCTCTTAAATATCTGAGGCCCCCTTAAATATCCTAGGTCCCCTTGAATACCCGAAGCCACTTTAAATATAAGAGGTCCTCTGCAGCCAAATGGATTTCAGGACCAGCGCAACGACCAGGACTATGAATATTTTTAAAAACAAATAATTCTCTTTAGTAGTGATTGATAGGCTCTGTAAATGAAATTTATTTTTTTTTTAAATAGTACGCTTAAATATATTACTAGTGAATAGGGCACTGCAAATCACTGGTACTATAATGCAGCGTTCCCCAAACGATGGTCCGTGGACCGGCAGCAAATAGCTAATAAATGAAGGGACTGCTTTCAAGCTATGTAAATGAATGAAATAGTGAAACGAGGTATGTGGAAGCTTGAAATAAGGTAACAGGACAAAAAACAAGGACGTTTCGGCATAAAGCCTTCCTCAGCCAACAATAGAAATGAAAATATAACAAAGAAAAGAACACAGTTGAAAACTCAAGCAGTATTCATTCGTCTCTCCGGAAGTGGGAAAACAGGAAGCGAGAGAATAGCAAATAGCTATTTGTACCCGGCTGGTCACGTGACGGTTATGACGTATACTTCCTGTTGGTTTGCCATCTTAGAGCCATTTTTATCAATCGAAAAATGTCCCTTATTTTGAAGACTTAGCGCTGAATAAACACGAAGAACAAAGTGACGTACAGGTAAAAGCAAGTAAGAATACGTTTATGTTTATAATTTTATTGTATTTGATAATTCTATTTTAAATATAGTTCTATAATCATTTACATGACGGGACGTCAATCAAGATTCAAGATCAAAGTTGCTTTTTTTTTGGCGGCGAATCGGCTACTGTCTTATCTGTAATTGTAATGAAAAGTTTGGCTGCGGCTATTCGGACCCGGTAGCAGAAGTGGATACTCCAATTTTAATTCACCGCAAAAATTATTACTATTCACACTTCCCCTAAAACAAATGTTATTTTGAATAAAAAAACGGTAAATTCGGAGAGATCAGCCCTCGCCCTCGGCCGCCATCTTGGTTATCGTGACTCACGAACTTATGTCGCTAAATGTATCCCTAAACCTAACCTGAACCCTAAATGTATCCCTAAACCTAATCTGAACCCTAATTCACTGCAACTTTATGACGTCATCGGCTGATCAATCTGAATTCAAAAATTATTATACATTATTTCAAATTTCCATTAAAACACTTCAGTATGGTGAGGATCCCTTTCACTACATGGGCAAGATTCTTGAGAGCTGGGTGCTTTTGGCAAATTGTTTGCCAAATCTTGTCAACTCTTACCCCATCCTCAATGCAATCCTCAATGTTCCTCTGCTGATGCCTATCAAAATCAAACTCTTCATAGATGGTGTCTACATCAGTCCCTCTGGGGATCAGAATGGGGAATCTGGTAAGGAAGTATTCTAGCTGGTGTTGTTTAACCTCTAATCTCCTTTTTGGATCAACTACAAAAGCATTCTGAAGTGCAGGATCCGATAGGGAATACCTACAACCATTGTCATTAAAAATAATATAAGAATAGTTGTTTAAATAGCCCTTCCAACCGGAACAGCTGGATTTTTTCTTGGCCGACGCTCAAGTGGTAGATTACCAAAGTAAAAGTTAAAAGTAAAGCCACAATATAAAAACATGTGGTAAGGTAATCCCTTATTTAAGGTATTACCGTTATTATTACCCTTTTATTAGCCTTATTATTAAGATTAAGGCTTAAGCACTTAAGTCTAAGTTCACTTAAGTAAGCCTTAATAAGGCAAGGCAAGGCAATGAAATTTAAGCGCGATTAATTATTTCTAGTGATATAAAATTAAAACTTCCTCTTTACCTGATGGAACTAAAGGCGGGGGGCCTAAAATAGCGTCCTTTTGTTCATATACAAAAACCA